GAGACAAAGTGGTGAAAGGCATACACTCATAAATTAGTTTTATCTGTAGTATCATATGTATGTACTAAGTATGAGAACTATTTTAGTTGCCAGCTTAGAGTCTTTGGACACTTTCTTGCATGTTGGTCTTGTTTTCGTGCTGTGTTTCTTTGCAACAACAAATGCAGAGCATTTAATGTACCAACATAAACTGCAAAGTGTGATACCTGAAATCATACTAATCTCTCCATTATTTGTGCTACTTAGCAGGGGAATAAGTTAAACAGTGATGTCCCAGTTAGGGATTGATTCAATCCAACTGGATCCCACACAGCTCTTCTGCAGAGTGACTAAAGGAAGTCCAGCTCACTGTGGTCATTTATTCCTCGCTATTGCAGCCCAGAGCTGCAGAGGCACCCCTGAACAGTCCATTCTCCAGCTGGGTTTATTACCATCAGCTACTCTTGGTGTTTCCCAGAGCCCTCGGTGATAAGAAAGTGGGGTAGCAAATCTCCAGTTGGATTTGCAGGGGCCTGAAGCTAAAATACTTGTGGAACCAAAGCAGTTTTAGGGAGTCAGAGCCCCATTTGAGCAGTGCTATGTCTAAGTCTGCATTGAACTGTCTGATGCCAAGGGCTTCTCTGGCATTTCTGTGCTCATAGGTAAAGAATCAGAAACCTTTGTTTCTGACCGCAGATAACCAGAAGATAGTAATTTGGACATTTTTGTGGTAATTTGGTTCACATTGTTCCATACAGGTACCTTTATCTTAGTGTATACAAGTATGAGGGGATTTATTCTGCCCTAGTACTGTTTATCTAAATTATTTGAATGAGACCACAGTTGAACATAATTCTTGTGGTTTTTATTCCTCTCCTGTTAGTAAGAAAAATGCAATGCCTACCTCTGATAGAAATAGCTGTCTTATTTCATGACATGAGTGCATTAATACAGCGTTTTTTAAGTGTGTCCTAGCATCTTCTTTTATGCTTTGATTTTTAAGGTAACTTTTGTGGAATCTTTTCTTGAATTTTTTTTTTTTGTTTCTTTGAGTATTTCTTAATGCACTTAGGTAAATTTTGCAAAACAAAATATGTTCCTGTGTGGTTGGTGCAATCTCAGGAGACCACTGCTGGAAGTGTCCCTGTAGAGCATGGCAAATGAACTGTGGGTGTCCTGGAGTATTGGAGGAGGTGACATTTGACACTCTGGTATTTAGTGCTCCTCAGTATGCTCAGAAAGGAGATCCAAGAGAACATCACTGTTGTACTATCTGATATTTTGCCAATTAGAAATGTCAGACAAGGCTTAGGAGACAGACTGAGGACTTGAGATAAGTGCAGCTCTGGTGAAATATTTGTCGTGTTCTCCTTGAAAAGAAGCCTGGAAAGGAGTCACAAGAACTTTAGTATCTTAAATAAGGTTTATGGTTTTGAAGTGAGTTCTTCAAATCTCAGTAGGCTATATAAATGCTTTCTTTGATCCACCTACAGCACTTCTATGGTATTAGGCAGTGCGCCTTTACAGGTTAAATAGATAAATAAATTGACAATGAAAGTCAGAGAACTGTATTTCCTGAACTGTTTGGACGAAGTTATTATTAATATGGTAGGATTCCACAAGTTGGGTTTGAGAAGCTGATTTGTCTTTTTTAAAAAAATACTAATGTAGATTTGTAGTAGAGACTATAAAACCACTGTGGAAGTTGGAAGGATGCTTCTGAAACTTAAGTTGTTTCAAAGACTCATCTCCCCACTGTCACATGTGGTGAGTGTTTGTCACCACCCCACAAACCACTTCTGTCACGCAATGAATAAGCAGAATTAAAATCGAGCTTTTCTAATGAGAGTGGAACTAAATGGCTTGTGAATGTAGTTCTTTAAGTGCATGTCTGTGGTTCATCATACTTAACTTTTTGACCACTTTGTTCCTTGAAGAATATACCAATGAAGTTTTTTGTGGCACCAGAACAGCAATCCCAGTGAATAGGCGAGTGTCACGGAAGCGCCCAGTGTTATCTGCAGAGGCACCAGACGGGACCTCTGATGTCCCTGCTGTTGGTGTCCAAGTATCTTCTGGGAAGCATTTTGGCACTTTGCTGACTTCACCCAAATGAGTGCTGCTTTGTACTGTAGACAGTTGTTTATTAAAAATTAGCATGAAACTGGACTGTGACGGATCTTGCCATCAGCTTACCACAGTCTGAACAAAATTCTTTCCCCTTCTGCCCTGTCATTACCCCCCTTCTGCTATTGAGTACATTCTCCTCCTTCTGGTCACTCTGGGCTGTAACCTAGGAAGCACTGGATCTTGTGCATCCCGCAGCAGGCTGTGAGCAGACTGCAATAGCTTTATACAGGAATTTTCTATTGTGTGTAGGGCGGAATCCTCTGCTGAGTCTGGCACTTTTCCATTCCTGTGGTAGTTTGTTCAAAGTTCAGTTTTAAAACTTCTTTCTTTACTCCTTAGTCAATTCTTCCTCTTCCAAAGCACAAAACAGATATTATTCTATGTAGGAGGTCCTACTATAAATCATAAAGAGTGCTCCTTACTCTTTTTATTGCTCTCAGGACTGTATTTACATGTCTTCTATTACCCATGTCACAGAGCACCTGGCAAACATGCATTAAAAACGTGGATCCTGAAGTATTTTAGGAACAGATGTGTGTTAAAATCAACCTGTATTTCATTTCCAGGCTTTGCCTTGGAGCTGTACCATGCTAATCCTCCTTTGTGGTCTGTTTAGCAGGTTGTAGAGTAGGGGAGGGTAGATCATGCTGGGGAGAAGAAGGCTGTGCTGAACTCTCATAACATCTCCCTCTAGAAAATGAAAGTCACTCAAGCCTTTTTGGCTTACAGGAGGTTCAAATTGTATTTTTTCTTGCATGCCTAATGGACTAAAGAAAAAAGGATCATCTTACTCATGTGCTTTTTGATGCCTAACCTGGCTTCCTCAAGTTTGTTCTTTCTCATGCAAAACAACTTTTGCTTCTACTCATGGTTTGTAGATGTAGTTTTTCTTTAAACTTCTTTCTTTTTTTAAAGCAGAGTAATGACATTTGTTCCATAAAAATAAGTAAGATGCAGAAAAAAACCCTCTAAAACTCACAGCAACATTGAGATGTGGAACAATACACAAAATCGTATTGGTGACTGTGAGTGGATAAGTATCATTGTTGCTCTTTGCATTTTTCCTCCCCTTAATTGGAGGCTTATAGCCTATCTCAGCCATACAGTTCATAGCTGATAGAGCTGAATTATGTGTATTAATTTCACTATTTCTAGACTCCTGATTGTGTTCAGTCTAAGCACAAGTGGTATTTTTTATTTTGACACAAGAAAGGTCAGCGTTGCATTTGGACAGTGTCTTCTCTGTGACAAACAGGTTTCTCTGCTGTGTTCACAGGTTATGCTGTGAACTTGGTTTTAGTGTTGCAAAGATGAGTGTAGTCTGCATGGAGCCTTCCAGTAACTGTTTACGTGCCTTGTTAAGAATTTCATCTTCCTGTTCCTCACTGTAGCAACGTTTTCAGATAATATATTTAGCACTTTGGTCACTGTGTGGTCAGAGACCTACTGCCCTATCTCCAGATATTTACTGGTTTTACTTCATTGACTAATATTGCAAGTTTTTTAAGGCTAGTTCTGTTACTCATTCTGTTTGGTAATATATTCTGTGATTAAGTCCTTGTAGAAGGGAAGAGTTAAAAACTGGTACTACTTGATTTGCTTTTGAGTGAGTTTTTATGGGTTGGGTTTGTTTTGTTTTTTATTTTACCCTGCCATTTGTCTTTGCTCTGTAAATGCCACTTTACTGGTTTATTATACATGTATTTTTCAACTAAACTGGTGCCAAGTTTTATCCACATTTGCATAGATAATTTGATTTTTTTTTTTTACTATATCCAGGCAAATTTCATGAAAACATTTTTCTATATGTAAGGGAAATGGTAGATTTTATGTTGTTTTTTTCTTTTTCTCTTTGGCTTGATGAATTATTGGGGGACTTGAGTTGCCAAATTGTTTTTTTTTTAATTGAAGTGTGCAGTGAGTGTCCCAAGTGTATTAATAATTTTAGAAGAATTCAAGAAGAAAACTGGCTTTCCAAGCAGAGGATCTTATTTAAAATGCCCTTCTGCCTGTAAGTTGTTGCATAGTCAGTGACAACCAAGATTTACATTTTTAACTAGCAAAAAACCTCCCCCATTCTCTCCCTTCCCCAAAAGAACACAAGTCATGGATCTTTTGAGTCTTCAGGATGATACTGGTGCATTGAATATAGAGGGAGGGAATCATGACCAACCTCCATTTTTCTGCTTGTGCAGAACACCATTCTCTGGAGATGCTAAACTTGTTTGAAGCTCTGTTCAGTCTTCCTCTTGATAGTCTTACACACCACCACCATGACAGTGTCCATAGAATGCTTTTGCAGCCACCAGAGTTAAGTTTCTGAGTTCTTTGGTGTTCCTTTCTCAACCTGGATGTCTGCACAATCTAAAATAACTCACAATGCTGACTATTGCTGTATTTTTTATTTTCCAAAGAGCACTTGCACTCTTCCTTCTCATTTTTAAGGTTGCAAAGACCTAACGTGTTTGGGATGATAAAAGCTGTATTGCTCTTGTTATTTCCCAGGTTGCTGAAAGGCAGGGGCTGGTCTTTATTGTCAGAGGTTTAGACTCAGATTTCTAGGATTTGAAACAGATAGAGGGGAGAAAAAATTACCTACTGTTGTGAGTACAGCAGACCTCCTGTGACTCATCTTAATTGCAAGTAGCTTGTACCTGAGAGACAGGTATAGTGGCGTTTCCGAGATCCATGTCTCATGACAGCTGGTTTCTGCTTAGTTATAAACTGCTGCTGTGCTAAAAGTGCTGAATAATTAGATTTTTAATGAAATTAGATTCATAATGAAAAAGAGGAGAAGAGGGTTTTTTTCTGAGTGACCTTCTTCATCAGTGAAACAAATACCTTGTGTTGCTTGTTGAGACTTTAAATATAGCATGAATCTTTTATTTCAGAGGTTAAGAAGATTATCAACAAAATACAGAACAGAGAAGATCTACCCAACAGCCACTGGAGAAAAAGAAGAAAATGTTAAAAAGAATAGATACAAGGATATATTGCCATGTAAGTCTGATTTACATGTTAATGGAAGACAAAGGAAAGTGCTTGTTATTCTTCATGTATTTTGAATTTTACTATTTAGTTACTACTGAAGGGCAAAATTGGAGATAATTTGCTGAAAGATAACCTTCTTAAATTTTTTTTTTTAACTTGGAAGACAAAGTGAGTGAACATTCTTATAGATTGAGAGAGAGGTATCACCTGAAGATAAAGGTGTGCTGGTTCTGAAGCCATATCAAGCCAGTACTTTCATTTTAGCTCAGAATAGTGGAGAACTTTGCAAGGTGCTTAATTTTCCCTTAGGAGCATGTTATACATGGTAGAAAATAAATGTCAGCATAAACTCCAGATGAAATTTTGCTGAGCCTTAAGGCAACTTGTCTGAAGTAAAAGAGATCTTCTTTTGCCTGTTTGTATCCTGCAAATGGTGTTGGAGAACTTTCAGTGTTGGATTAACTTTAGTTTTTATTTTGCTAGAGCTTAAATAAAATTCTGTTTAATGTGTGGACATAGAAAACAGGAGTCAGAACAGAATTTAAATTTTAAAACCACCGATGTGTGGGTATAACAGATCAGTGATCTGAAATGACACGGTTATCTGTTACAAGCACACTGTGTGTAGCTCATGAGGCCGTGCATTTCACAAACTCTTATTGTGCCCTTTGATATGAACAGCTGACAGTGAGATTAAAGGCTCCTAGGCTTCCCAGGTCAGCAACAGGTATATTTTGCTCTGCTCAGCTTTCTCTGAATTGTTAGGAGCTTTACAACTAGTTTGCAGTTGAAAATGGTCTTAAGCATCATTGGCTTTCACTTTCAAAATGTGTTCCAATAATTAAGTCCAGTGAATTATTGTGTTTAAGGTTGCTGTATACCTGTGTGCTGTGTTCCTCTAGTGCTGAAATTTTTACTGTTGATTAGTGCTTGGAGCAACAACTCGAGCAGTAAACTTTAGCCTAAAGCCAAGGCCTTAGATTGTTCAGCAAGGTGGGCATGGTGCCTGCTGCTGCACTGAGAAGGAAATAGGCCTGTGTTTAGATTTCACTGGGAGATGTATATAAAACATGGATCACGTCTTGAGGAGTAGTGTGTCACCGAGCTGAACTGCAGCAAAATAATTAAGTATCACTGATATTTTCGTGTTTGGTTTGTTGTTGTTGTTGTTTTTTTAGTTGGGAGGACATGTTTAATAGATGGAGTGAAAAGAGAGAGGAAGTTGTTATTGTCATCTTAATAGCAGTGGATATACTTTTTTTCTGTCCTGGCATTTTGGTAGATCATGAAGAAACAGCAAAATCGTGATAGCACCCAGGCTGTTGGTGAGAGAGTAGCACTACGGTAGTGAAGGGCTGCAACTAGAGCAGCAGATCTGTATGCCTTTCGTCTGCATGAAAATAAAACCTGAGTCATTGGGATCACAGCTCCCAGTGGGGAAATGAATGAACCTCAAAGCTGACATTGAGGAAAATTGAAGGTGTATTTTCAGTTCTCATTCATGCAGTGAGAATGTCTTCAAACATCCAAGGTTTGCAGCAATAAACTGATGGGAGACCAGCTTGACAGGAATGAGAAGAACCAGGAGAAAGGCGATGATACTTTGCCTGTCTCTCATAAATCCAGGAGAGAATATACATTTGTACCTTAATCAGAGATTATGGCTATGTTTGTCAGAAATTGTAACTGCTACCAGAGAGATCAGTTATAACTTATTACTGGCTTCAGAGTAACAGATGCATGTTCCTATTAGAGTTTACTAAGCCATCTTAAATGACAGTTAAATGAAGCATGGTGTTCACTGGTCACCTGAAGAATCACTCATTGTGAACTGAACCTTTAAGTTACATAACAGTATCCAAACAATCTTCTGAAGCTGAAACCTGCAATGGATTTTTCTTGGAGAATTTTATTCCAGACCTAAAGCTCTGTAGCAGCTGAGCTGTGGCATGTAGAGACAGGCTGGAAATGTTGACATTTGAAAACTGCTGTAGAATTTTGGATCCACTGGGCTGGGAAAATAGGATCCCTCATTAGCCTGATACTTTAATTAGTCTATTCTGCCACTTAAAAGCAGTTTTTAGTATAAAGCTTGTGACAGCACTGCATGCTTAGAGAGTGTTCTTGCTTTAACCTTCTATGTATGAGAATGTAATACAGTTAATGGGTTTTAAGGATTTCTCTAGGCCTTTATGTGAGTGTGTTGTCTTTAGATCTGTAATCTAAAAGTTTTGTGCTTTTTTAAGGAAGCCTTTCATTGTAATATATATTTTTTTGCATGTTATGAGAACTCTGGCAGAAAAATTTCACCATCTTGCAAGCTTTTTGAAAGGCCTTTTTGTACAGAAGTTATTCTTAGCATGTAGTTCTTGTGAGCATGGTTCCTTGTTTTATTGTTAGAGGTGTTTTGACAAAACAAAACCTCCAACTTAACCATATTTGCTCTTTCGAAATATATTTCTTTTTTGTTCTTGAATGTAGGTCTAATCAAATGCTTAGCAGCTGTTCTGTGGCTGAGGAATTGACCCTGGGAGCAAAAAGTAGCATAAATTGCTTGAGCAGATGCTATTTCTGCAGATATTTCTGTTCCCCCACTGGAAGATAATTTTTTTCTGATCTGGATTTCCGACTAAAGGAGCCTCTATTGTAGAGACAGTGTGAATGATTTTTGTGTCATAGCTAGGAAGTGTTGTCAACAAGAGCTGAAAGGACTGGCAAACCTGCCAACCACCTACCCCTTTTTAGTAACAATCAAGTATTAAAGATGCAGGGGGTTCTTTTCAATGCCAAAAAGAATACCAAAATGTTTAGTTTATTCTGTCGACAAGTAATAAGGCTATTTTTAAGACTGCTGAGGATTTTGGCCTCCGAAGAGCTGCTGCTTTTATAAGCAGCTTTCTCTGAGACAGTCAGTCAGTAATACTTGAGGCAGAAATTTGACATATCAAAACCCCTTAAATGAAGGAATCTGCTGCTTTCTAGATCAGAAGTGCCCCAGCAAAGTGCCCAGCCCAGAGTCTGGGGGATAGAGGTCATTCTGTGCCTGAGCAGTAAACCCCAGTCAAGTTTCATATTGTAATACCTGACGAAGTACTCCTTGGCAGAGACTTCAAGACCTGCCAGCTGCATTAACTCTGCACTGGCATTTTATCCTTTCTGCTCTCCATAAGTGTTCCTTAAATTCGGAACCATCATGATCTGTGTTAATGTTGTGTAACAATTAACTACAATTTTCATGACTTCTGATTAATTGATTTTTTACTTTTTGTCATGATGCATTCTTGGAATTCCAGGAGATGGAAGTAGGAGTAGAAGCTACTCTGCTTATCTCTACCAGAGTTGGTTTATTCCTAAATTAAATGAACTGATTTGCTTCTGTGACTTACCTTTGGGAAATGTTCTTTAATGTACTATATATATTATATTTACTGTTGCCTACTGATTTACCTGTGTTGTAATTCTGGTTTAAAAAAAAAGTTATTTTCCTTTTAGTTGATCATAGCCGTGTTAAACTGACCTTAAAAACTCCCCCACAAGATTCAGATTACATCAACGCAAACTTTATTAAGGTATGTCTTACTAATTTAACAGTTCTTGAATTGTTTTCTAGCTTTTATTTTGTGTCAGTGCAGTTTTAATATTATAGTCTGAGATATTCTTTTATTATTACTTGAATAATTTTGCAAACATGATGCCATTTCTATCACAATTTTTAAAGCTTTGGTATTACTCTTAAGTGAAAATATAAAATACTTCATTTTAGAGTGGCAGGCAAGCAAATTGGAAATTTATACCATAGGAAAATTCAGATGCAGTTGTTATCTTCAGATGCAGTTATTAGTGTTAAAAATACCCCATTTTAAGAAAGACTGGTTTTAGGGACTATAAATGAAGTGTTCATAGCAGAAGTGTGGCAGTGGGATTATGTGTAACATTGTAAAAGAGAAGCCAGAATTTGACTAAAGCCAGTTTTGTTTCAAAGTAATAATATCTTGAGCTTTGTACTTTATTTTGATGTTTTTATGCACTATTTATTATTCAGAAACAGGTGTTCCTGTAATTTTCCCTGCTTGAATGTTTAGCTTGAAAAGCTGAATATTAATTTTTTTAAGATTTATATAAAACAAATTTCAAAACTTCGAATTTTTTAAATGTGTTCGTGGGAACTTAAATTTGTTCAAGGGGGTGCGTTTTAGCAGAAAGATTTTCAGATTTTAATCACTGAATGTTTGAGGAAAGAAAATGAGGACTTATAGGGAATCTTCAGAATCTGAACAGAATGTACAGAAACTCGTTCTCTGTGACAGACTCTGGCAGTGCTGTAGCTGTTGTAATCTTGGGCCCCCTTGAGATCACCAGCAAAATTCCCACTAATGTAATTGGGACTCATGTTTGATACTCACCTTTCCCATTGTATATATATAAAAAAAGGATATTCTAATTTTAATTCTAATTCTAATTCTAATATAACCTAAAGCCTCTTTCATTCAGTGCAGATAAATTTTCTTTATAAACATTAATGGTTCCTTTGTGCAATCCCAGGGAGTACATGGGCCAAAAGCATATGTTGCTACCCAGGGACCCTTAGCCAATACAGTCATAGACTTCTGGAGGATGATTTGGGAGTACAACGTTGCTGTAAGTACCTACTGAAAAACTGGCTGTTACCTTGTTTCAGAGAATAGCAGTTATCTATTTTTTGCCTGAGCTGACTTTCATTACCATAAAATATTGACAGTGATTTAGCTCATTTACTTCCCAAATCTTGGTTTTTCTATTTTAAATAACAATATATATGTAATTAATATTACTTATTCAATTTAACAGTGTAAAATCGAAGTAATAATTTTATTGAATGAATGTTAAATCCTTCATATTTATGAATAGGTTCTTGCTTGGTTACATCTGTCCCATGGGAGACCTTAAAATTCTGATTTTATGTGGACTGACAGAATCAAATACAGAAGCAGCATGTGAAGCAAAAAAACCCTTATCTTTCTATTTGTGCTAGTTTTGAATTACTACTGCTTCTATGTTCTACAACTATTTAAACAGCTATTGTCAGGAATTAACTATTAAATAATGTTAAAATTGGATATGTTCAACAAATTAATTATTTCTGAAAATATTTTTGTTTTATCAAGCACTTAAATCATGGCTTGCTGTAATGAGTAGTTTACCTGTTGGTGCATTTTTATTGTGCTATTCACAGTAATGTGTCAAAAACAGCTTCACCTAAGAATTTTTATTCTTGGTCGTTTTTTGGATGGGTTTTTTGGGTTTTGCTCCTATTTTATGCCATTTATGTGTCACTTTAAGCAAATATAGCTTTGTTTCTTCCAGTTGGCAAATGGTTCTATATTTTTATGATTGAGTTTAGAGTTCACATTCAGACTGAATAAATAAAGTATTTGTGCAGGATTACAGTGAATTTGAATTAAACATCCTTAATATGTTGTATTAGTGGTGTAGATTTTGTGAAGGATGAAACTTTGTTACTTTTTTAGAAGTAAACAGGCATGCATATGCAGGTAGGAAATTAGTATTAATTAATCTCTTGCATAGTAGCCAATTAAGGAGTTTCAGTATCCTCCTGATAGAAGCAAGTAGTGAAGAAGTGTTAGTTGAAGTTACTTGATGTAAAACCAGCTAACTTGGAACATCATTTTTTTTCTTTTCAGATAATTGTGATGGCCTGTCGAGAGTTTGAAATGGGAAGGGTATGTAGCCTAACTCCAAAACTGAATGAGCTCTGCTCACGTGGGGCGATACTACTGAAGCTCCATATGCCAAATCCATAACTGTAATAATGACAATAATATGTTAGATGGAATGAGAATGCCTACCCTTACATTTCCATCTGTAGGAAACAGTTAACGAGTCTGCATTTCTTTGCTCCATTTGTAGCGTTACAGTATTATTTAGGAATATGTGGAATATGTGTTTGTACACAGAACAGAACTGTACCAATGGTTTGTTTCTGGTCATGTCACTATGCAAAAAACGTGTCTTGCTCTTTGTGGGATGTGGGCCAACTATCAGAATCCCAGCTCCTTCAGAATTTCCTGTCAATTGATACAGCTGTAAAAACAATTCTTTTTAAAATCTCTCTGCTTTATTCTTATGACCTTAGAAGGAGAAAAAAAAAAAGTGGTCCCAAATTGTGAATTCCCAGCTTTCAGAAAAAAACTAAGCTTTGATTGATCCCCTCTGTTAGATGCAAGCTCGTGCATGTGTGTAGGCAGACGTGAAGTTCACGTCCTAATTTACACAGTGTCTTTTGGCTGTATTTGCTGGTCATCCGGGGTCTTGGTTTTGTTTTCCTTTTGTTATCCAAAGGAAATGTTATTTTACTGTCTTAAAAGAAGTCAAGAATAAGACATTCGGGGTTATCATTTTGTCTGCTCTGCCTCTGTTAATCATTGTCCTTCAGTGCTATGCATGAATTAAATCAGAATTCTTTGCTTTAACAGAAAAAATGTGAGCGTTACTGGCCTCTGTATGGAGAAGCAGCTGTAACTTTTGGACCATTTCGTGTTTCTTGTGTAAGTATTAAGCTTTATAAATTAATTTTGTAAGGATTTAGTGCTTTTGTACCTTAAAATAAATGTTCAACAAACGGTTTGTATTATAAAAGAAGTGGGGTATTTTTTGTTTTCAGTATTAAATTTTACACAAGGATTCTCAAAGGAATGTGCACATCTAAGCTGTGTGGGGTTTTTTGAACTCTCCACAATTGTTTTCGTTTCTTTTTTTTTAAAGTAGGGAACCTGTGTGCCTTGGTCTTAGATCTTTGTAGTTATTACTTCTTCAGCTTTACATGACGTAGTCTTGAATGTCTGTGCTGTACTCAAGAAATCAAATACTCATGGTGCTGTTTTTTTCTGTAATGACTTGTGTGTTCTGAAGGTGCATGAGAAATTCAAATTTCTTCTATTGTAGCTTTTAAAATCAAAACAAAAATGAGTAGTGGGTCACCACGAAGTCTCAGTCTTTTCCTGAAGGATTCCAAAGGGATAACTGTCAAGTAATCTGTGATTCCAGAAAGCTGGATAGTAAGAGAATTCATGATGCAATTGCCATTTACAAAAGGAAAAATAGCAGAAACTAACTCCATTAATTGTGAGGTTCTTAGGATATGGGTGAGAATATGGCATGTGGGACCATAGCCACCAAAATCAAAATGCTCAGCATTCCTTAAGTGTGGGATAGTATCCAATTTACCTTTGTCCACACCTGTTTATGTATCTTTATTCCTTCCTGCTTTAAACATGTTTCTGGCCTGTTTGTCCAGCGTGTAGCTCTTAGGGCTGGAATCACATTCCAGGTGAAACCAAGGGCCTTCCAGCCTATCTCTTGTGTTCAATGACAGCCTAATGATCAAAGGGAAGAGAGCAGAGAAACCATGTATAAGATGGTCCTTCTGCTTGTAATTGTCAGCTTCTAGCAATGGACAGACTTCCTTAGTTGAGTGTCCCTATTTTTAGAAATCATACAGTACATGATTAATTTGATAATTTTTTTGTTTGAGTTTTGCTTTTTGTCACTTGCTCTTTCTCGCATTGGCATCATGCTGTGGGAAGAAAACACTTCCCTGTATCTTTATTTTTTAATCTTGCCACAGGGTAGTTTAATCAGTTTCTGCTGTGTGCTGTTAGTTACTGTTAGGGTGTGAATGAAACATGGCACTGAAGTGATGAGCATGGCTCTCCTTAGTGTAAATGATCTTACTGAGAACTTTTTACAGTGGCTGTTTTTTTTCCCTGTACCTAGTGGTATTGGAGAAAAGGGTTTGTGTGTATGCTGTAATTGATTTCTTGGCCACAGAGAATGTATTACCTGTAGGTCCACAAGTGTGGGACTGTGGGCTGTGTTGTTATGAACTGTCTTTTTTAAACCTGCAAGGTGTTGCAATTGTTCATGGGAAATGGTAAATTCCCAATAGGAGACAGAAACACTTTAAAGCATATATACAGTCTCCTAAATTCTCTGTGGGAAGCTGTAATGCTAAGCTTTTAAAGGCGTCTTCAAATTCTGATGTTACTGATATTTTAAGTACCATAATATTGTTTGATGTCTGGAGTATAAACTTTGCTTGGTATTCCAAAGGCAGATTTGAAAATTCTGGGAGCCTAGAAGCCAGGCTTTTTAGGCCACAACCGAGATAATTAATGGTTCATTCAGAAGCACCCTTAACTGAAAATAGTAGAAAGGGAAAACATTAAAGGAGCTATCAGAGGATAGAGTGATAAGAAGCTGAAGTTTACACAGCGAAAGTGTTACAGAGAAATGGCTGTGGAAGGCAATCTGTAAATTAAAAGTATAGAGAAATAAAAGGGTTACTTAGAAATATTCTTACAAGACTTATTGATGGTTTCTGGAGCAGACTAGACATTCATTTCAAAATTCACATTTTTAAGTAAAAGAAACATCTTTCACACATGTTATGTAGCAAGCTTAGTTGCTGGTGTGTTAATGTTTTTAATGGCCCTCTTGAAGAAATCACAGACACAAAACCAGTAAATTGAAAAAGGGCATCTGAGTTGAAACTTTGAGGTTTTAGTTATATCCTGTATGCTGCATATTGATTCCCCCCCTCCTCCAATTCATTACTGTTTTCTTGTGTTTAGGAAGCTGAGCAAGCGAGAACAGATTACTTCATTAGAACATTATTACTTGAATTTCAAAATGTAAGTACATGGTCACTTCTGGTCTGACCCTCAGTGATTGCTCAAGGGTCTCTATAATGATACAATGGTGGAAACTCATAAAAATATCTTCACTTCTTTAGATGCTGACTCTGTATGTGTATAAATCATAAAGTTTAGAAGTAATGTTATAAGCTTAGTATATAAGGGAAGAGTAGTGAAGCTCTTTGTCTTTTATCTATGTTTTTGTTTACCCCAAGGTGTGTTATGGTCTTCAATAGCATAAGGTAACAACTAAAAAGTTTCTGCCACCCTAGGAGAATTTCACTGTTTAATCCAGTTAAAAATATGATGATAAACTGAGCCAAACTTGTAAAAGAAATCCTGTTTCTTCTAGTTAGCTTCTTTTTGGGTAAAGTCTGTGTGCTTCTTGGAATTTACCTTTTACTTTGATTTATTATGAAGAGGAAATCAGTTTGTCTGAAGCTGGATTATATTCAAGAAAGAACTTCGGTGTTTTAGCTTAAAAGTGGCAGTAAGAGGAGAACTGTGAAGATTCTTTTTAATTTTCAATTTTCAAATGAAAAAAAAATTCAGGTTTGTTTTTCCTGGTAGTTCTGCTAATGTGAAAAATCACTGGTCTTTTTAAAAGTAATTAAGTGAAATTTCTTGATGGACCTTAATAGGCAGCTGTAACTCTTCATTTTTTCTGATGACCTTGGTTTTACATAATCATCTGGATTTTAAAATGTGGGTTTTCTGAGGCTGCATTGTCTCTTGTTTTTACTACCTATGGCATTTCCACAGGTCTGGGAAAAGTCAAGCATCAAAAATAGATAACTTTCCATGCTCCACAGGCTGCTATGTTGCTTCTCAACTAACTAAACAGGAGGTAGCTTAGGTCTTGAAACTTGTAGCCTGTAACACTGATCAGAGAATTCATGCCCTCCAGTACATTGCTTTGAAGGGTGTATTGGAATCCAGAGATGTGACAACAGCATGGAAAGGTGCAGTAGAACTGGCTACCAGTTCTACTGGTAGTTGTGGATACTTTGGATAATGATGAGGAAGAGAATTTTCAGGGATTCAGGTAGCTGAGTAACTAGGCTGTTCTCAAGCCTGCTTCCTACCCTGTCTTTAGTACTATTGTAGCTCGTGTTATTAGAATAAAAAAGTACCTATTGTTGTTGCAAGGGTGATCCATACTTAGATACAGTCCTAATTATTTCTCTAATTTTCTTAATTTCTCTCTGAGTGTGAGCATGTGCACACACTGTATTTTGTAATGTCACAAAACACCTCCTTCTCCCCCACCATTTCTTTTACTAAAGTACAATTAGCAAAAGAAATTTTCGTGTGGTCTTTCTTTCTCCCTTTCCAAGTTTGACTGCAAGGACATAGAATCTTTTAACAGGGTGGAGTGTTGTGGGTTCTTTAACCCATATAATAGAGAGGGACTTCTCTGAACTGTCCCATGGTGCATTTTTTTATGCATTAGCAGCCCTACTTCACAATTCCTCTTGGGTTTTTCAAAGTGGTATAAGCTGTAACTATTTTTAATACAGTAGGTGACTTTGCTTGTCCACACTTAATCATGCAAAAACTGAAGGTTCACAGAACTCCTTCTTTTGTACCCACTCAAATGTGTGTTGTCATTGATGCCTTTCTCCCTGCCTCTCCCTCAGGAGACTCGTAGTGTCTATCAGTTTCATTATGTCAACTGGCCCGACCATGATGTCCCTTCGTCTTTTGATTCTATTCTGGACATGATCAGCTTGATGAGAGAATACCAGGAACATGAAGATGTACCCATTTGCATACACTGCAGGTATCAAATATAGTTATTTTTTAAATTTATAGACGTCTTTTGTTTTTTGAAGTCTAGTCTTTTGGCATGACACGCATTATTTTGGTTCTAAATCAGAATTTATTTGTTTAATTCAGAGTAAAAAAATTCCTTGAGTCACAACTTAATTCAAAATCATACAGCCTTCATTTTCTTAAAACTGATGCCACAGTGAGATTTTGCTTCTATTTCAGTTTAAGACAGAATATCAATCAGAAAAGAATGAGCCTTTGAAAGGGTTTTGTGGTTCTTAAGACGTGTGAATCCTCATGAGGACAAAATAGACTTTGAAGATGATTGCAAATCAGATATGGAAGTGAAGGCTCCATTCTCAATAGGAGACACTACAGAGCAGGTGCATCACTAAGAACTCTGTCTTCTAATATGACAAAAAAGATCTTTAATGGGCAGGCTGTAGTTTCCAATTGGGAAGTCTTTGCTTCTGAGCAAGAGTTTCATTCTTGACCTGAAACTTAGCTGACAGAAGGACTTGAAACTGAACTGCTGTGAAGATATTCTGGTGAAGTCACAGTTCCTCATAATTTATCTGGAAAATTCTTGCCTATGATGCTTGATGCTTTTTAAAGCAACAAAAGTTCATGTATTATGTCAGGAAAAAAATGAATTCAGATTTGTAAGCCAGGAAATGTCAGTTGTTGGGGCTTATAAACTCTTTAGAGCTTAGTTATTCTCCTGAAGTGCGTAGAAATGTACTGACTTTAGCTGCATTCTTTTTTAACTTGTCACTCTTAAGTAATTAACATCTAAACCCATAAAAAACTTCCTTAGCACTGAAATCTGTTTCTCTTGAATGTCAATATAGTCAGAAATGTTGACTCTTTACAACAGTGTAATTATAATGTAATGGATATTTGTGAATTATAACTTCATGTGTAAAATAGGGGAATTCATACTATTAGGAAAAATAAACATGATAGTTGATTGCCATTTTTATAACTTTGGTATTTTTTTTGGCTAAACAGCAGAAAATACAGATGTCATACTAAATCAGAAAAATGCAAGAAGTCTTTAAATATATTCTGTTTTGCCATTTAATGTGTCTGTCATTAAACTTGGGCGAGATCCCTACTGTTGGAACTGTGGTAACTGGGAATAGTGTGATGAAAGAGAGAGCAATAAAATCGTCAGCACTGAAGCATCTTTCATGACTGCCCTTCCAAATGGCTATGAAAAACTTGCATTAAGAACTTCATTGCTCCGTTTTGCACTGCTAATTTGTTTGTTTGTTTATTTGTTTTTAAGACACAACATAGTGTCAGGTTGAGTGAGCTCAAAATGATAGTTGAGGGATTTGGTTAATTTTTTTTTTTTTAATGTGGACTTCAGAAATATAAAGCTTATAGTGTACTTTTAAGAAACTGAAATAATTTCTAACACATAACTGTTTATGTTCATAGTGCAGGGTGTGGAAGAACGGGAGCCATCTGTGCCATAGATTATACATGGAATTTGCTTAAAGCTGGGGTAAGGAATCTTAAAAGTTTAGTGGCATTCTGTAATTGCATAACTGTGATTGATTGAGCTTCCCAGTGTTCTAAAATAGTGAAATGTTTGAGACGTTCTGGAACTCTCTTGACAGGTTGGATGTTTAGCTTCATTGTGTTCATATTTTTGTATGAACTTACTTTCTTTTGAAGTGAGTTTTTATCTAAAAAGGTCACTATAAAATTCCAGGTTTCAAAAAATATATTTCAATATAAAGTGATTTTTTGAATTCAAATTTCTTAGTCTCTCCGATTAATCTTGCAGCTCCTAAAGCCTGATATTTCAAATATGATGGGATAATTTTTTTCTGGGATTTTTAGATTATGAAGCATCATATTAATGGCTTTGAATGTCTCATTTTGAAAGTACTTGAAATTCTCTCCTCTGGTCTAAATCAAGTGTCAATTTGGAGTTGCTTTAAAAAAAAAATTAATAGCTGCAGTGTGGAGAAAATAGATTGGCTTTAACTACAAAAGTTAGACTTATTTTTGGATGCCTAACGGCTTTTGTATTGTTTTTCTGACAAACAGTTACGTTAATCTTATTGACTTGCTTCTGTATTTCAGAAAATACCTGAAGAATTCAATGTATTTAATTTAATACAGGAAATGAGGACACAAAGGCATTCTGCAGTGCAGACAAAGGTATAGTTTGTTTTAAAATGAATGTGATAATATATCATTATTCTTTGTTAAGATCTTGTGCACTAATTTTTATCTGGTAATCTGTTGTAGGAGCAGTATGAACTTGTCCATCGAGCCATAGCACAACTCTTTGAAAAGCAACTGCAAAAATACGAAAGCTGTGCAGACTGGAAGATTGCAGATGGAGTGGTATGTGTCTTTCCCACATGAATTTCAATCAGCTGTAGCTGTTGCCTTCTGATCGAGATTTTCCTATGAAGTCTAGTTTTTAAAGATAAGTGTTCAATGGTGTTAAGGCACGTAGAGAACTTGTTTGAACTGCAAATGGTTCTTGCTGAGCAGGGACAGCTGGTCTATACTCAACTTACACTGAGAACTTGGTTGTAAAAGTTGAGTCAGGTAATTATAGGAACACTTACAGTACACACCAAATGCATTTGCAGTGGGGGAAGAAATGGAAAGAATTATAGTCTGGATGAAATGGAGGACTCTGAACTCAATATTAAATCAAGAAATATGCCCTTACCTTGGTGAGGTGACAGTAGTTGTCAGCTGATCTGTTGCTTTAATTGTCAGTATTTAGCCCAATTCTGATATACTGGCAGCAAATGAAATTTTGTGTAAAGACTGACCTTCTGCAAATTGCTTTTTAAACAGTGTGATGAGCAAGTGAAGAGTAAACATCCAGCCTACATATACATATATTTGTATACAAATGTATGTATCCATATGTTTGTATACAAATAAAAATAAATTAACACACACAGTGTGTATATTGGTGAATTCTGTCTGATCTATGTTTAGGTTAAACTCCCTCAAGGGGAAAACCTTTACTGAAGTTTTTTCTTCCTTCCCCCCAGTGTGGTGTTGGGCCCAATATTAAAGCAGGAAATAAGTGTTAATTGGACTCTTCACCTGAGACTTGGGTATTGTATGGCATTGCTTCTGTCTTGACTTGGCCCAACAGTCTTGACAGAGTTGAGCAGGACTGGCAATCTTACTACATTCTCATGCTGTGTTGAAGTACTATTTGCACTGGAATAGTTTGGGGGAAAGAAAAACAAGTTTAAAACACCTTTTTCAGGAAGCTCCATGCTTTATCCTTTTAATGAAGGAGGAAAAAAAGTGGAAAAAATAGTGTTTTTCGTTGGTAATCACAGTATTTGAGGATTTTTCTGTCTCTCTGTACTTCAGCTTTAAATTTCATGTCTCCTTTAGGTTTTTTCCCTATTTTATGTTTAGGTATGTCTTCTTGTCTGCTACTGGGCACTATATGAAAAGTGGCTTGTTTGGATCAATATATTCTTTCTCTCCCACAGTCCAGAACTCTGTATCAGCCTTCATCCCTGACTGTTTTGTTTATTCAGTGATTCTATTTGTCCCTTTAGTACCTAACTGTTGTAGACTCAGCTTTCTAAAGGGATTATGAGTAGTAACTTCAGGACCCTGTGAAATATCTGGAAGCAATTTTAAATCTACTTTTATTAATAAGCATTTTAGGGGTTTAGCTGTTCTATACTATGCTTTCTAGGAAGTTGGGAATGTTCTTCGTTCTTGGAAAAAAGGCATACACCCTTCTCTTAATTCCTAAGAGTTTATATCAGTTCATGCAACGCTTCTGGAATCTTTAGTCATGACGAGAAGCCTGTGGACTAAATGAAATATTGACAGGGCACACTGCTTTTATTAGTTACAACTTGGATTAAGCTGATATGTGATTTTTTTTTTTTTCCCTGAGGAATGAGCATGAAAGGGTTTGGAATGTGCAGATTTATTAGCTTTGTACATAAGTGATTTCTAGTTACTTGAGTTTTGGTCACAAAATAATAGGTAGGTCAGTCTGCTGTACCTTCTGGTTATTTGACTTTCATTTGACCTGTGTCTGTGCTCTTACATAGAATCACAAGAGGTCTCTTATTTACCTATTGCTATATATACTGTATTACTTATTTATGTATTCCAGGACATGAGTAAGGTGGTGGCACAACATGCTGATACTTTTTTTGTAACAAAGGCAAGGGCTTTCTGTAGCAGAGCTTGAGATTTGCTGGCTGAGTAATAAAACAAGAGCAAATAGATGATGGATATGTGATGTACATGGAGGTGAAACAGGGAGAAATCCCAACTCTGCATAGGCAGTGATGGAGTTCGAGTTTTGAATTTTACTTTGGTGTGATCTTGGTTGATAATCAGTAAGTTGAAAAGGAAATAGAGTTTTAGCAGTTATTTGGAAACTAATAAGAGCAGGGAACGTAATGTCATTGTGTGGGTACCTTGCAACTTGAATGCTGTCTGCAGGTCAAGTCTGCTTATCTCAAAAGTATATTACAGAATTCAAACATTAAAAAACTGGACAAAGATCAAAGGTTGTTCTTTGGACGGAGCTTTGAATATTTCTGCCGAAAGCTTGATGGGAAAAAGGTCTCATAGGTGAAAAGTTTTTGTAGCTAAAAATTTGGTACTTAAATTTGCTATTGTCCATTTGTTAGGAAATTTGCCTTCAGGGAATTAACTGGTGTAGGCTTAGCTTCTGTTTTGGTTATAAGAAAGTCTTCTACCTCACATATCCCATTTAATGTTTTCTTGTAGCTTTTTCCTGATTCTTAATACTCCAAAACTTACTTGAGACAGTGTTTTTGCTATTCTGAAAAAGCTCCCCTTTTTTCTCCCAAGGGTGTTATGTAGAATCTGTTGTATATAATGTCTGATTTTCCTTGGAAATTTTCTAGTTTATTTTCTCTTGAACACCAAACAAGCATTCTGGGATGTATCTTAGTTTAAAAGCTAATTCTGATGCAGGAATTTTCAAGTAGCTTTATGAAATACAATATAATATTCTAAGGTTCCTTCACAGATCTTACTCTGCCTAAGGATGCTACAGTAACTGTGGAATCTTGATTATGTCCAGTGGAAACAATTCCAAATAAAACAATGTGCTTACTTCGGAGATATTACTGTTAGTTAAATAGGAGATACTGCAGGGCTGAGGAGGAAGTGTTTCATTTATTCTATTTGGATAATACTCTGAAGAGCTGGAGTGCTCTGGAGGGTTTGGTTTCATGGTTTTGTTGTCCGATTGCTGTTCTCATTTCAAACAGTGTTTGGAATGAATTGAGTTACCGAGGCCTTTGCAAGCAGGGCTTGCCAGTAACATCACAGTAAAAAGTTAATCTGATTGGCAGCAAGTGCAGTATTCATAGGGAAGTAGCTCAGACACAATCCTGAATGTGTGTTCCTGTGAACTTGCCAGCTTTGCCCTGCTGGAAACAATAACGTAAAAAGTCAACAACAAGACTTGCAGTGTTTGAAAAGAGACTTACAGGGTTAGAATTTCTGTTAGGATTTGACAGAAAGATTCAAAACCACGTAGAAAATGTGTATATGATATACTGTAGTAATTGCATACTCTTACCATATAATTATACATATCGTGATGTATAGAACTACAAATGTACTTAAAATAATACAAGTATGGTAATGAAATAAAATGAGAAAAGCTCTGCTCAGATACCACTACTTTCAACAGCCAAATTTCAGGGTGAAGAATTGGTATTCATGAGTAATTTTTCTCCGATAAGAAAATAATTCAGATGCTAAATTTGGTAATTCAAACTATCCACTCCCCCTCCCCTTAGTAGTACTCCTACATTTCGAAACAGTTGAATTGGAACAGAGTCTTGAACTCAGCCCCCTTCACACTGAAATTTTCGATAATACTGTCATGCATTTGAAGTCAATAACTGTGCTTTTTGCCATCATTGGTTTTGTTAGTACTGCTGTGAAAATATAACACTTGGTGTTGTGTTTGGAAGCTTTGAAACATATGTGAGCTGATTAGTCTCGATCATCTGATAAGATAACAGTCAGATATGTGTCAGTAAAATATTTTGTGAGTTATTTGAGAAGCTGCTTCTTGAACTGCAGTGAGCCATAGCTGTCTTGGAAAGTCTGAATCAGATGGAATTCCATCAAGTTGGATGTTCTGACTGGATGTAGGAAAAGGAAAATTGATTAAAAAACAAACAATCAAATTGGCGTTGCTGGTACTCTCCAGTGTCTCTTGCATTTCTTGCTGTAAAAGTGACAGAGTTCTGTTGCTGTGGTTAATTGCACTTTTAGAAGTCATGGAGGAATCAGCTGCTATAATAAGAATGTTGACATTTCAAACATTAGTAGTTTAGAAACTGTAAATGAAAAGACCTTGCTGTTCATATTCTCTTTGCTGTTTTGCAGCTTGCAAAGATACTTTTTGCCATTGTAGCATTCTAAAAAATCATATATGTCTTCAGTGACATTTATCTTATTGCCTGTGCTTGGAATGTTTTATTTAATCTGAGTCACTTGAGTGTATCGTTTCAGTCTGAAATATTTCTCATTTTATCTGCTGATGCTGAGTGATTCCCATACTGCTTTATTATAAGAGCAAAAGGAATGCCTCAATTCCTTTTAAGGGATTACTTCTGGAGGAGTCTTTGCAGTAAATTTGCCAGTATTTTATCAGTACAGAAAGCTTCTGAATGACATTAAATATTTCCACTGTGAGTTCCAAAAGAAAATTATATGTTGCAATTCCTGGGCAAAAGGTTTTGAATTGTAGGCAATGTGTGTGAAATCTCAGTCTAAGACTGTGATCCTCTATTTGCTTGAGGTTAGTGACAGCTGTCTTTGGTGATTCAACCACAGGGGGAAAGACCCACCCTTGGGAGATGATAACACAGTTTAGGTCACTTTAGCAAATTGAATTCAGACACTGCATCTGCCATGAGAATTCCTTGTTTCTCTGCATTACTACAGGAACATGAGTTGCTCTTGCATTGTAGTAGACTATGGTCTTCGTATTTGTTAATGTAGTCTTTCATAGCCAGATATGCACACATTTCTATATATGTGTGATTTAACAGAATTAGCTATAAATTCTGAACATTGATAATGTGCTCCCTCAGCAAGCACATTAGAAGTCTTACACTGTTTAGCATTTGATGTATATGCACACAAGGGTCAGAGAAAGATCCTTTTCTTTTGTTTACCCATCTATTGTTAATGCCTCTGTTGTAATGAGAAGTCTACCAGGGTAAGATAGGTATTTTCTGTAAGAAAGCAGAGTGCTGCACTGAACACATATTTCACTGGATTGCACATTTTTTAAAAAATTATATGTGAACTACGTATGTTGTCCTGCTTTGTCTAAGCTGATACTTCTGAAAACTATATTCTGCCTGAGAGTGCAACATCTGTCTAGAGAAGCAGGAGAGTGTTGACTGATGTCGATAAGCTGTGATTAGGAAGGCTTTGGAAGGCTTTTTCTTAATACTGCCATCTGCTCTCCTCAACAGATGTGGTCATTCCAGTGAGATACCCTATATTCACTTTTAGGGTTGATCTTCCTCTTTTCTGCTCTGTGCTAGTTTTTCTGCCTGATCGCCTGTTCACTTCTATTGATATACAACAGGGAAATCTGTGAGCTGGCATCACTCAAGGGTGCCCAAAATAACAGGTTATTCCTATTTCTTGGAAATAGAACATAGAACAGGGAACAAGTAAGAGCCTTGCTCTAAGAGTTCAGCCAGCAGCATTTCTTTGGACAAAACCAAGAAGAGAGCCAGTAGTAACAGCAGCACTGATATGTGACTATTCGCTTCTTCGCTGCATGTGTTAGTGCATTTGGTTACTGCTTTAAACTTTTATCATCTTCAACCTTTGAAGTAAAAATCTTTCACCTACTTATCTAAAAGTAAACAAAAAGTAAACAAAGCTATTTAAGATAAGAATAGTGAAATATCTCTTCTTCTGGTGACATAATTCCCATAACAATTTTGTTACTCACTTAATGTAACTAAAACAGTGAATGGATATGGAGCTTAACCTAATGCACAGGTGAAAGCTTTTGAACAGCTATCTGCCTGAAACCTTCCCAGTGTACAAGGTTGGGGTTAAATTTGAAAGTAGCATTTTGTGTGGGGGAGTTTCTGTTGGTTTTTTGTTTGTTTGGGCATTTAAATTGTTTTTTCCAAGGAATTGTTTCTGTAAACTCTGTGTTCATGTATGTACCTTGGATATTTGGTTTATACACGTCTGTAAGGTGTATTCATACCTTTTATTACCAGAAGCGAAAATGGCAGTGCCTCTTCAGCTACTTCTGTCTGTCTCAACTAGAAACAGCTTCTTACTGTATACATGGAGTTTTAAAAAGCTTTGACATATGTTAGCTTCCTGAATAAGCTTTTTCTTCCGCCTGTGAGAAAAGCATATCTCAGGAAACATTCAGTTCACAAACACTTCACTTTACAAACACAGGAGGACAGGGATGCAGCTGCTGGTTTGTTTTCTGGACGAGTTAGTCTGCACCACAGCCAACAGGCACACCCTTTCCCTTGCCAATACCCTTTAGAAAACTGAGTACATGAATAAGAAATCTGTGCTGGTGGAACTGAATTGGGACACTTCTCTGATTGGCAGTAGGACGGAGAAGCTGATGGTCAAGGGGAGGAACTCTTGTGAAGTCTCACTCTTTCTAGTATCTTTCTGCCTTGTGAAACCTTGATGTGCTGTGGAGCTGAAGCAAGGCTAAATGGAAGGAAGAAATGTTTTATGATGAGGTTGATGAAATACAGGTTGCCCAGGGAGATGCCCCATCCCTGGCAACATTCAGGGTCGGGTTGTAGAGGGCTCTGAGCAACTTGATCTCTTTGAAGATGTCCCTACTCATTGCAGGGGAGGGGGTGGATTATATGGCCTTTAAAGGTCCCTCCCAACACAAACCATTCTACGATTCTATGAAAACCAACCAACCTTGATTGACTGTAGTGGGAGCTTCAGTTGTGTTCATTTCAATGTGAGTGAGTGGCTTTTATCTGCTATTTGAATCTTACTCCAAAAAAACCTCGATAGTTACAGCTCGTGGTCAGCAGGACAATGAACTCCCTGTGCAATTTCTCTGAAAGGGCTAACACAATCCATTTACTGAGGAACAATAGGGTATTTCTGCTGGAGTACTTGTGCAAGATTGTATTTGACAGCAAGTTAATGGGGGAGGTTGGTGAAAAACAATAAGAAAGATCAAAAGATTTAATTTTTTTCTTTGCAGGTTAAGCTCCACTTAGTACACTGAGGAATAGAATTTGATAATAGACTCTTCATGGTACCCAACAGTGGTATGATAACATTTAAGACTAGCAATAGAAAAAAAAAAGTGTAAAAATAATTAATCTAAATTTAAATGAGGTTAGTTAGCTGTTGAGTTATGGTTTGTCTTCCAAAGCAGAAATTGTTCACCGAATTCAAATGCTGCTATCACATTTGAAGCAGAAATTAACAGGGAATTATCTTTTGTTTTGTAAGATTGAAGAAGGTCAGTCTCTGTCACCAGTCAGAGCAGGTAGCGTGGCAGATGGCAGACCCTATTGCATGAACCTGGTATTGTGCTTTGAAATGTATTACACTGATTTGGGATGTTTGTTGTTCTTTTTTAAAATTACTTTTTGCAAGAGAATTCCTGCAAGAAAAACCTTTAGGTAAAATAAACATTAAATTAACACCAAGGTCTTTGGGTTTGTTGGGTCTTGGGCTGTGGCACGTGTGTCCCCAGGGGTGTGTGAGTGGCTTTGTGGGGCTTGGCTGCCTACCAGGGTTAACCCACATCAATATTTTATATGTCTATACATGGAAGTGTGTATGGATATATATATATTAATACGTCTATAAAATATATCTTATATTTATGGTCCTCTTAAAGGAAAATTAAAATCTTCATGCTTTGCTGAGTAAATTAAACTTCATTGTACACAAATGGGAGGTGATTTCGAAGTGTTTTAGATCAATGCATTAGATCTTACCCACTTGTCACTTTACAGTAGCTGAAATTCTCATTTTCTTACTACAATGTCCATTAGCCTTATCTCCAATGGAGTGATTGTAAAAGTGAAAATAATTAGACTGGAAAATAAATGCTTTCAATATGAATAGCTGGGAGGGCGTAACAGAGCTTGCTCACTACTAACCTGAAAGATCAGCTTTTGAGGATTTTCTGTAGTGAATTATTCAATTACAAGCAGAACAGAATCTTTCGTCGGAAAAATCTGAAGTTGGATACACAAGATATAGAATAATATTTTGCATTTAGCGTTTTGAAAGTGATGGTAGACAAAAATAGGTTGTGTTGTTATATACTCTTGTCAAGAATTATTATGGATCTTTGAACCTCACAGTTCGAATATTGTATCAGCTGTACAGCCATGAGTAAAAACAACCCTTTTTCTTTTAATCAGGATGAAAACAATACAGAGAATGCTGTCAGTTCTTCAGATGCTGAGAAACAGGATTCTCCTCCACCAAAGCCTCCACGGACCCGCAGGTACTTAACTATGTTAATAGACTGTTTTAAGCTGAAAGATTGAAAGATTGGCATGTTTCAGTAATATAAAGTAGAGTAAAGCTACTGATACTAAAAAGACTCAAAAAAATACATTTTTTTTCTATTTATAAGTAGAAATGTACATAATGCAAATAGAAGTTTTGTAATTAACTCTAAAAATAAGGTTAATATCTCTGAAAAGTCTGTGTTTGAATATCCCAATCTTGCCATGACTATCTATGAGTAGATAAGTACTGCTTTTTGACTAGAGTGTGCCAACAAAATGCTGTTCTTATTGAGAAGAAAAATTGGTCTCACCAATCTTTTCATACAACAGAGGAAAAGGAAAACCCTTTCTTGCTCATAAAATGCATAGACTTAACTTTAAAAAAGTCAAAGTAAATAAGAATTAACATATTCATCAACCTAACATGGGTACCCAACCTGAGTGTTAAAAGAGCTAAATAAGTAACTATCCTGAACTAAGTGTCCAGGTCCCCTAGCTAGTTTGTGGAAGGTTTATAGGACCTTGGCAGGTGATGTTGCCTGTGCTACATGGCCTGTAGTTAAATAGACATAGGTAAGCACTTGGTTCTCCTAAAGTTGTAGAATGACGTAAGAAACCACCAGCCAGGTAATATTCTTATATAGTAATTAGTCATAAGGAAAGTTTTATTACTTTAAAATAAATAAAGAAACATTGAAATGAGTTGGGGCTTTTTACAACCGACACAGTTGGTGTTATGTAGGTAATGTATTTTTTTACCTTATTTAGATTGGTGGTAATGTGATTGTATTCAATTACGTGGATTAAGATGGTGACAAAGGAGTCAGTTAACCTATGTTCGTGATGAGTTCCAAGCTCTTCTTGAAATTTAGTTACTGAAATTAGAATTATGATTTCTGTTCAATAGGTAATTTTCTTATTAATGCTCCTTGAGGTTATCTTAGGTGCAGATTGCTCTTTATAATTTTATATATTCATGTAATAATAATATATGCATAATTCATGTTTTAGCACACATCTGTCTTGTCTCTATTGCATTGCTCTTTACTTGCTGCATCAAGTTAAAGTCTTTTAATCTCTCCTTAAAATCCTGGTCCTTTCTGGACCTGATTTCATAAATTCATACTTTCCCATCTGCCAGCACTGGCAGGCAGATTGGTTCCTTAGAGGTGAATAAATGGAAGCTTTTAGCAAAGCTGTTGTCTTTGTAAAATGGAGATTATTTTTGAAAAACAATTAATTACACCCCTCATGGAAGATGCTTCTGAGGAAAGACTTCATTTGCTATTAGTCACATCTGCTCAGAATACCCACTAATAGCATGTTTTTTTCTTGATGAGGGAGGTAACTTCACAAATCCCCAGCCTGATTCAGTCAGGACATAGATCCAGGTTTTGTATATTGTGGGGAGGATGCGAGAGCAGAATCCATGAAAGATTCTAATTTAATCCCTGTATAGAGAAGGAAACATTTCTAGCTTGCCAGCCAAATGCGTGCTTGATTTGTACACGCACTGTCTCTGAAGAGGTTACAAGCAAGTTGCTGAAACTACTACTTTTGAGAAGAAATAAGGCTTTTAAATTTTTTATATTCTGTGTTGTAGTTGTCTCTAGAGAGTGTAATTAGTAAAGCAACTTGCATTATTTTTTAAAGGGAAGATTTAGCAGTTTCTTTGTTTTCTAAAGCAAAAAGGGCTGTAGTGACTAACAGTGGAGAGTACTGTGGGCCAGCTTGGTTCCAGGTGAATCTGCCTGAGATGATCCTGTCTGAGCAGGAGGAAAGTTGGTTTATATCTCTTGACCTCAGGGTGCTTGTCTGCCCTAGTGCTACCAGACCAAGCCATGTTTGCTTAGGCAGTAAGGCTTATGATGCCTCTCAGTTGTTTTCTGACAGCCCTTTTCAGACTGTTTGCTGGATGACAGGGTGACATCTCCTCTCCTTTTCACTGGCCATCCAGTAGGGGGTAGAATTTTTCTGTGGCTTTTCTGTGGCTTTCTCTCCTGTTTCTTCTCCGGTTTGTGCCGTTGCTGTGACATTATCATGACGTTTTCTCTATATCTTCTTTAAACTTGTGGATCTCTTCCTCTTAAAGTGTCTGTGCTAAGCAAGGATGAGATGTCACTAAAGACTTTTACCATGTAAGATAGGAAGCTTACTCAGAGAGGGATAATTAATCCTTTTAGTACTTGTGTTGGCCTGGGAGTGTATTGGAGAAGGAGTGCTACAAAATTTAACTTCTAGGCTGCTTTTACCTCTGTCTCTTCTTGGAAGTTGCAAGTATCTTCAGGCTACTGATAGTAAATCCATATTAAATTGGTCTTTTGTTTACTTAGCTCACTATGAAGCCTCTAGCTGTACTTGTTTTGCAGAGGTTTTGGAATTGTATTGCCTTCCAATCTGTTATCACCTTGTGATGCTTTAATGTAATTAATATTTACCATACAATACATGAGCGTAGTCATTTAGCCTAATGTCTCTCTCCATTTGATGTCAACATAAAAAAATTAATATTATCCTTTGATTATTACAGAGGTAAAAAAGAACAACTCATGAGTGCACACACCAGCACCTTATTCTAGAAATTACTTGGCTTTGCAGTTGATGATCACTTCTTGTGAAAGTCACCTTGAATTGTTAAATTTCTTAGGAGGACTTGAGGGGATGCAAAGTGTTGATTGTTAGACATGTTTAACTATTTTCAGGTGAAGGCAGGAAGAGTATCTTAATATCTTTAAGTGTTAGTCCTTGTAATATTTGTGTATTTAGTAGTTAATTCTAAAGTACTGGGAAGAAGAGGTGGTTTATTTTAATCAGGCTTGGTTACAAAAAATTTTTTATTTACAAAGTTTATTTTCGAGTTCAAATGCAGTTCGAAATAAGGGCAGAAACTCAGACATAAACTCACAGAAAGCAAAGGTGAGGTAATAGCTTTTTTGTATGCAGTGTAATGAAGAGCTACGTGCTACTGTCTGAAGGAGAAAAGGTGAAATATGTAGCAGTTTAACTTCTCATCAGATTATGTTTGGACTTAAGTCCAATGACAGTAAACACATTTCCAGTGTGTTTTCCGTCAATTCTGTTTCATGTCAAGCCCTGCAAACCATCTCTGCATCTTCTGCAAAGCTAAGATTATTCATTTGTTATACTTTTATATATATTTTTTAACATATAAATTATCTGTAGCACAGTTTGCAACAGCTTCACTCACTGAACTGCAGCTTTTCTTTTGTATGGATGGCAGTGATTTAATGCTACGGTAGAATAATGTGGTTGTCTAGCTTCAACCTGCTTATGTTTAGTTTAATTTTCCTATTTTAATTATGAGGGAGGATGTAGAGCTTGGTATCTATTTTTGGTTGATCATAGCAGCTGCATTCCATGACCTTGGCATCACTCTCTTTTATTTGAAACACCCCACAGTATGCTGCACAGAATAACCATGGATTACTTAAAGCTTTTTTTCTTTTGAACACTGGCCAAGTTTCATTTAAATCTGAACCCATGGTGCCCAGTTTTAATAATATAGCTCTTTTCCTAATGTAATTTTAAAACATTCTAAAAATTTATAATACATTGCAGAAAGCTGTGGCAGTCTTTTTTTTTTTTTTTTAACAAATTGTAGTACTTTTGACAAATTGTGTTTAATTGTTATTATAACGAATAATTTTTAAAAGTCATTATCACCAAACCATGGTTTATCTGACGCCTCAGAAGCCTGTGTCGCCAGAGCACTGCATCAGCTGCTCAGGCTGTGTGGCAATAAAAGTGTACAAGAAAGCTGCCTTGATCACCTTGGGAAATTCTGTGTGAGGAAGTGCCAAGGTAGTCACATTCCAAGATAATCAGTAGCAGTGAAGAGTCACTTCAAGGCTGTGTCATGACAAAGCTTTCTCTCTCTTTAGCACACAGTGGGTTTTTACAAATATTCGGGTGAAATGCTTGCTTTTGCAACATATAAAAGCAATGCAGGGTTTATTTAAAGGTCTAATACAGGAGAGATTAACTCTCTTTCTCGACTGGTCTGGCTTTCTTTGGTTCACTGGTTCCTTTCTGTCTCAATATCCTCTTTCATGAGCTTTCTGTTAGTTTCCCGGTATTTTAAATCAAGCTGGTTTTACTGTCTCCTGTTGTTTGTAACAGTATTAGTAGTTCATCTTCAGATAATTTTCTGCCTCTGGGGGGAGAAGTGTCTGTGGAGCACAGCTGTTGAAGGACATGCCCAAAGGAAGCATTATGCAACAGCCCAAAATGCCCAAGATTGTTTGGCAAGAGTTTTAGAAAAAGCTACTGCCAGAGACCTTCTGAATATGTACATATGCTAATATTCCTGCCGTGTGGAAACAAACAAAAGCATTATTTGCAATGCAGAATATGTGAAATAATAATATTAAAACGTCAGTAAAATGGAAAAAAATTTTACCTATTGGCATCTGTTTCTTTATTTAAAGAGAAAAACTACATTAGAATGCTATTTGGACATCTTGATTTCTGAGGACAGATATCCTTCAGTGTTAATAAGACAAAGAATGATTTTGGCAAATAATTTCTCATTTGATTGCTGTAAGCTCTCATTTAAGAGTGAAGGAATGACATCTAACTTCAAATGTAATGGGGAACATTGTGGTAGTTCTGTTGAGCTGTGTACAGGGAAGCTTTTTAACCAACTTTTTGGTTGCTGATTTATGCAGCATTTCCCGTGTCATCAGCTCTGTGGATACATCTAAGGGAACTGTTTGTATGCATGTGGGGCTCTGTTTACTAGTGAATCATAGAGAGTAGAGTGATTTCATTGAACAGTAATTGGTTGTAGAACTTTATGAATTTTGACTGCTATTGTGGGCCTGTAACCTTGTCATATCTACTTTAATGCTAATTTGCTCCTTTAGCTAATTGTAATGCTTAATGGTACATCTGTACCAGATAAGAAATTAGTTTTGCTGATTGCATCTATAACTCTGGGTCAGGAAAATGAGGTCAATAAGGGAAAACCATTATTTTCAGTAGGAGGATTTAGCAGAGATTACTGATGAGCATCACTGCTGGTAAAGGGGGCACGTAAACATTTGTGCAAGTGCACTCACTCTCTCTCATTCTCTCTGTGTCCCCCTCCCCCATTCAGAAGGAGAAAAATCCAAGAGGAGGGAATTCTCCTGTCCTCAGTGTGTATTAAAGTGGAGCACAGCTTACATCCCCCATTCCCTGTCTTATCTTTACTAATTCAGGCAAACAACTTAGTCTCAAGCTTATTCATTTTTCAACATCATCTAGAGGCAAAAGTTCCCAAATTACTTTTATGAAATTGCTTTGATGTGCTTTATATTCCTCCTGTTTTAATGTAAAGAAAAATAATGACATACAAGCACAGGGAGGAGAGAAAGAGAAGGAGTTTGAGACCCAACTCTTTGTGGCACAAACCAAGCAGAAAATGAAAGAAGCCACTCGGGAGAACTGCAAAAGGATTTGGGGTTTTTCAGATACAAAGATAAGATAACTTTTAGAAGATAATTTGGAAACTGGGAAGCTTGCAGTACTTTTGGGGGTTGGGATTTTCATAAACTGAGAATCCAAACAGTTCTCTTTAGTATGGAATCCCTTGTGTAAGGATTTTAGTTCTTCAACCCGTACTGCTGTAGCTTGGTGCTAGTAAAGTCACAGAGATGTAGCCTGTCCCAAGTCAAATATGCCTTTAGTTCTGTACAAGACTCGAGTGTGAGGCAGTCCCCTGGGGTTATTTTGTTTTGCTTATCTATAGGTCATGATGGTCTCAAGAATTTGCACTGGGTAGAGGAGCAAATAATATCACTTGGACTTTGTGATGTGACATGCAGACAAGTAACGAGAGCCTGTCTGATGCCTTTCTCTTGTAGACAGGCAGAAATTGTTGTGCCATTGTGTGGTCCTACTCATGCTGGAGTGCCCAAAGCTGGATGTGATGCTCCAGGTGGGGTCTCATGAGAGCAGAGCAGAGGGACAGAATCACCTCCCTCAACCTGCTGCCCACACTGCTGGGAATGCAGCCCAGGATACAGTTGGCTCTCTGGGCACATTTACAGCTCATGTCCAGCCTCTCATCCACCAGCACCCCCAGGTCCTTCTCCTCAGGGCTGCTCTCAATCTCTTCATCCCCCGTCTATGTTGATACCAGGGGTTTGCTCTGGCCCAGGTGCAGCACCTTGCACTTGGCCTTGTTGAACCTTGTGGGGTTCCCGCTTCTTGAGTTTGTCCAGGTCCTTCTGTTTTTTTAAAGGCTCTGAATGAAAATTATAAAAATGCCCAATTTCCTGTTTGTAGACAAAACTTTTGTCAGTTGTGCTAAATGTTTATAGTCAATTACTCTGCATCTAATCTGAAAGTAGAAAGACCGTATTCTTGAAGAGCTTCTCCTTTTAGGTAGCTTGAGATCAAGTGCAATTGTTAGTGCTGAGGTCTCACTGATATGCACTGTATATATAGAGATCAAATATTCTGCTGTCAATGGTCTTTATACTTGTATGCACCTCATGTCAGCTGACCTTGATCTGCATCATTAGCCTTACAACGATTCACATACTATTAAATACACTAATATAAAAATAAAATCCTCCTGGACATATGCAGAAAAATAAAAATGAAGGAAGATATTCAGTATCAAGTAGGCTGTAAGGATTTTTTTTTAAAAGAAATTTTTCTCGGGTTTATTGAAATTTGAATTCCATATGTCAAGTTTCTCTGAGCCACTTCAGAAGCAAAAAAGTAGTGAAATACTGCCACAAGAGGGCCTGTCTTACAGCATCTTTGAAAAAATGCTTCTGGGAAAGGATGTGAGCAATCTTTGAACTGTCAGTGAGGATTAGCTGTGGCCTGAATGCATGTCTTTGTGATGTTCTGAAAGATGTTTTGGGTGTGTTGACTTAGTTCTTGCCTACCCCATTAGTCATGTTCTATAACCATTGTCTATATGCCGTGGAAGCTCTGTTGGGAGTTTGATATTGGTATGAAGGCACTACTACTGCAGAGGGAGATGGATACCTAAAATCTTGTCAAAATACAGAGAACTCAGACAATTGTGTTTTGTTTGCTTTGCAGTTGCCTTGTTGAAGGAGATGCTAAAGAAGAAATCTTGCAGCCTCCAGAGCCTCTGCCAGTACCACCAATCTTAACACCTTCTCCCCCCTCAGCTTATCCAACAGTCACTACGGTGTGGCAGGACAATGACAGATACCATCCAAAGCCAGTTTTGCACATGGTTTCATCAGAGCATTCAACAGACCTCAACGAGAATTATAATAAGTCAACAGAACATTCAGGGAAGAACGAACCCAGTGAACGCGCAGAGAAAAGGCTGGAGCGCAACTTAAGTTTTGAGATCAAGAAGGTACCTCTTCAGGAGGGACCACGAAGCTTTGATGGGAACTCCCTGTTGAACAGGGGACATGCAGTTAAAATTAAGCCTGTGTCATCCTCTGTAATTGATAAGAGCTTTAAACCACAGGAACAGATTTCAGGGGATTCATTTGTAGATGCTTCTCAAAACTCGCGTGTGGAATACAATGTGCCACCATCTAACACAGCCTTAATACCTTCACCAGAAGGTCTGCAGGTGTCTGATACTCCACCAAGACCAGACCGTTTGCCTCTGACAGAAAAGGGACATGCCACGTGGTCACTACATGGGCCTGAAAGTGCACTGTGTACGTCGGCGTCTGGAGACGCATCTTCAGACACCTTGTGTCACGGTGTTAAAACTCTCTCTCTAGCATCAAACACCACAGTTGAACATCCTCCTGGTGATAATGTTGATCATACTCCTATTTCTGTCCGAGCACCCCTCTGTTTTACTAATCCTCTCCATTCAGATGATTCTGACACGGAGGCGAACTTTGATGGAGCCGTGAGCAAAAGCGCATCTAACGTGTCAACCGCAAGTGCCACAGTCTCTGCTGCCACTAGTACTGAAAACATTTCTGCCAGGAAAGTATTGCCAATGTCTATTGCTAGGCAAGACTTAACAGCTGTAACGTTTTCTGAAGATGGCAAAGGTAGGTTTCATTGAGGTTCAGAAGTGCTACTCTTTAACCTACCTGCATCTGTAGAGTTGGACAAAATAAATTTATTTTCAGTGCAATTTTCTAAATGTGAATTTAATCAGTGCAGTGTGGCAGCTTCAGAGAGGGCATAACACTTTTCCTGCTGACTTTCAGTTTGCATGTGAGCTATTTTTGTTATAAAGTACTACAGACCTTGATTAGCTGCTTCAAAAGCTTTATTGTGAGTGTTTACTTGATGCTTTATTTATAATGTGTTCTTATTTGTAGGTTTTTATGTTATTGGTTGGCATGGGTTTTTTTCTCCACTCCTAGTTTCATGAAAGTGTCTATAATAATGGAAGTTTGACTAGTCAAAGTATTTTCAGTGGGCTTGTCCAAATACAAAACAAATTCATGCTTACTGGTTGATGTGCTGTTCCTAAAAATGTAGATGTAACCTCATTCACCGTACTGGTCTTTGAACTTGCTCATGATTTGGATCCCGCATTTTAATAGCATTGTAAATATTTAACTGTACTTTCCTCTTTTTCTGTACGTGGCTGGGGGAGACAAGCTAATATTGCTGTTCATCTAAAAATCAAAGTTATGCCTTCTTAGTGCTTTGAAAATTTAGTGACTTTTCATCTTTTACTACCCTTTTTTTTTTATTTATTTTTTTGTAAAAGGGAAGTTTGCAAGCTACAGCATGGGTTATCTAAGGTAAAAGGGTCCCAAAACATGCAGATGCAGATTTCAGTCAGGCTGGCACACCTAAGTCAGATGGAGGACAGAGCTGAGAAGAACAGATTAAGCCTTGATAACTGCTTGTGCAAAGGCTGTGCAGCTGAGAGGAGAACATGAGCTTCTGGATTCAGCTCAGACTCTTGTACTTGGAGCTATTTACAGTGACTACCTCTCCTCAGGAGTCTGTGCAGACTTCATGGCTTTGAGCTGAAATGGGGCTTAGTGTATGATGTGAGGTGCAGAACCAGCTGAATTAAAAATATTTAACTGGCTTTGTGAACTAAGCTTTCACCAAAAGTCATGTGTTCAGCGATGGGAATTGTTTTGCAACCTTAAAAACTGTCTATGTCTATAGATTTTGTTACTTTATGTATACAGACAGAACAATACTTGCACATGCATGTATGTTTTTAACCTTGTGACGCTAAAAATGCTCTGCAGAGCTTACAAAGCCCTTTATATCATAGTTTTTTCAACTTTACTAAGCAGTCTTTCTTTGATTTGTTTTTTTTTTTTGATTTACAGGCTGTAGTGTTTTTGCAATACTCCTTTTAGCCAGGAGTTTTTTCGTCTTTCCCAGGGCAATAATTGTTTATCACTGTTTGGAAATCATTACCTCTCCATGCATCTCGTTATGTAGATGCTATAAGAACGTGCAAATAAAATAAGTGATATGCCATAAATTATAAAGAATGGGAGGAATGTCACTCTAGAGTTTGTTTCATGTAACTGTGTATCAGAAATGTCCTGAAGTAACAGTACAGCCCTTATGCCGCTGGTATGTTAATGAATTCACAGGAATGGATTAAAATTTTAACATTAATTTTATATCATTTATCTCTTGTTATTTAGGATGTATCTGTTCCGGTTTTGTATGATAGTGAACACTTCCAATTTTATATTCTGGTTCCAGGTCTTGTAATCCTCCTGGGACTCAAAAATATAGGGTTATATTGCTTTGCATCAGTGATTCTAAGCCCTGTTTTACAGTGATTTTCTCAATTTCATACTTGCATAGGAATCTTCTGTCTGAAGCTGGGAATATGGGTGCAGTCATGGGGGAAACTTGCCTGTGAACTTACCAGCAGCCTAATTGCTTAACCATAACTGCTGGTGTGCATGATCTTACCACATAGTCAAATCCTCTTTTTAATTCAAATGAAGTGAAAAGTAGTTGCACCCTGGGGTAAAAAGTTAAAAAAACCAAACAGAACAATAAAACAGCAGCAATAACACCCTAATCAAACCCTAAAAACTCACTTTCAGTCAGTGTATATGGGGGGAGGGCTTTATCTTCTGGTTTAATAGAGGCCCTTTCCATTAATGAAGGTTTTCTTAGGCTGTGTAGTAAACTTGAGATGGAGCTTGTACAACCTGATGGAATTCTGTCCCTGCAGCAGCAGGGCATGCTGGCAGGTCAAGCTCCATGGCTTCGTTAGCTGAAATGTGTCTTCATATTTTTGAATCCTGTGCAGAGTACAGTTGTCAGATGAGATTTCTTATGGCAGCAGCTATTTTAAATTGTTTTAAACTACTTCAGATTTTCTAGCAAGTCAGAGTGGCTTTTGCTGCCAGAACAGCTTGTGTTAGTGCACTCCTGAGAGGTGAGAGGGAACAGACTGGGGACAGGATGTGGGACTGGCACCAACAGTAGCCGTCTCCTCTGGCTCCTGTTTACCCTTCTGGCTGGTAAACCTTGCACTGGACTGTTTAACTAGTTTATGTCAGTGGTGTGGAAGCCAGTGGGCCCTGAGGGGGACTTGGGAAGCAAAACCGGGACCTGAAAGAATGAAGAAAAAGTGTTCATCGGAGTTGTTGAGGTCTTTTTTCCTCCAAATTATTTAGTCTGAAAATGTGTTTTCCTTTTCTTTGTTGCATAACATACAAACTGATGCTACCCTCTTAATGTGAAGTTAGTGTTCTTAGCATGAAGTTGCTCCAGGACATTAGTTTCGTAAACCAAAATGGTTTATAATATTTAGAGCAAACTGTTCTCTTGCTCTAAATTTTATACCAAGTTTAGGATTATCTCATGTATCAAAAGATCAACTTCTAGAAGTTAAGGAGGAAAATCTAAGTGTGTTTTTTAACTTACCTAATGTCATATTTGATTTAGATGCTGATGCTAGTGAAGAATCCTCTCCCCCGCTCCCAGAAAGAACACCAGAATCATTTGTGTTAGCAAGTGAACAGAGTGAGTTTTTGATGTTTTGTGATAACTGGAGATAAAATGTAAAAAGCATTTCAGCATTGTATTTGAATGCAATACAAATACTCCCTGCTTTTGGTTAGTCTGTTGGAGCAAATTATTAAATGGTCTGAAATCTAGCATGTGTAATAGCTTATTTTGAGGTTTAATTTTCACAAGCTCTTAAACACAGTGAAATTATTTTTTATCTTCTGACTAACTAAACATGCTGTTATATGATATTTAGGTAATTGGAAACTTTGATATTAACGGACCTGGTTTTCATTCTGAAGGGTATGGAAATGAGATACAGTGGGGAAATGCAGTACAGTTAGGGAATTTCCCAGCTATTTTGGTTTCCTACTGCTCCCAGGTAGGGAATGGGAATGCACATGAACAGTGCTTATCTGATTCCCCTTTCTTGGGGAAAGGAACGATGATGATGCATCATAGTGCACTGCATGTAGTGAACAAGCCCAGTTTGTTCAAGTTGAATGCAGTTCACTCTTTGCCTGTATCAAAAGGGAGACTGAATGAGAAAGCTGACACAAATGATGTGCTCCTATTGCCATATTTCATTCATCAAGCTAGTAACGGCAGAACACAAAACAGATGAATTGAAATTAAGTGAAAAATTAGGTTGATGCATGGTATTTTTATTTACTGAGGCCTTTGTTCAGTGTCACTTTGTGAAACTCAAAGATTTTTGGCCCAAGTAGTTAATCTAGATACTTTCAGCATAAAAACAGTGAAGGTTTATAAATATGTCCCTTGAGCATCGTAAGGATAGGTAATTCAGAGTCAAAGTCATCTTCTGAATATTATGGGCTTGCTCCTTTTCTATGACAACACAAGAAACAAAGCTATTTCCTTAAAAAAAAAAATTCTTTCTGGGACTGGCATAACTAAAACCACTTCCATTTTGTTTGTGTTTTTGCCTGATGTCTGTAAAACACAGGTATGGCTGTCCTGACTTGCATGTTGACTTGGGAGATCTGAAAAACATGCGCTGTTACTGCACAGCTGATGTAACAAAATTGCTAAAACATCCTTGAAAAAGAAGCCAATTGCCCTGTTGGTTAGGAACCTTCAAAGGAAGACAGTGAAACATCCATGCTGCAAGCACTGCAGTCTCGTGTATTTTGAATCACATTGCGGTCCTTTGCCTTATTTTGAATGCTTTTCACGTACAGAGATTTTCATGTTTTTAAAAGCATTTAATCTAAGAAAAGTTGCTTTAGAGCACATTTCTAATGCTGTGTACTAATGCCTGATTGTGGGGAGAGCTCAAGTATGTTGAGTTTGATTTAATTTTTCCTAGGCACACCCTTGCTGAAACCAGTTGTGATTGCACAGTCGGAGTGGAGCATATTGCGTGATCAGCATCTCCCTGAGCAAACAGCCTCCATAGTAAGTGTAGGAGACAAGTCTGTACTGATCTGTCATTTCTAGTTCGGTGGGGAGACACAACAGAAAGCAAAATACACACTTGTGAGAAGGTGCAGCTATTGGTTGTCTACAACTGGCCAGTTTTTCCTCCGCCCAAGCTGCTGAACTCACGTGTTAAGAGCGTGTTTTCTTTCCAAGGAAATTATCTGGTTTTCCAAGTTCAACAATACGTTTAAAAAAAATAATCCTTAATATACCTTAAATTATGGCCCTAAGAGTGTAAATATGCTGCTTTTACAGAGCTTGCTGTCTGCCCTTAATCAATCTTAGGCCAATTCAAACTGCAGAAGAGGTGGAGTCTCTTGTCTAACCTGCTGCATGAAGCAGGGCCACAGCCCAGGCTGACCAGGCCTTTATCCAGTTGGGTGTCAAAAACCTCCAGAGACAGACACTTCATATCATCTGTGGGCAACCCGTTTCACTGCCTGATAAAGGTCTTCCCTAACGTCCATATTTACCATATTTATTTTAAACAAACCATTTCTTGCCCATCAGATTTAGCTTTTCAGTCATCTAGCTCAAAGTCATCCAGCATGAACAGCTGGCAAAACTTCAAAAGCATGTAAATCCTTTTTCCATTTGTGCCTTTTTTAAATGCACCCCCAATACCTCACTTAAAAATATAACAGAAAACATGGATGTGAGTTTTCAGGGGCTATAAACGTAGTATGAGAACTAACCTACATAATTTTACAAATGAGTTTTAGTGTCATGTTTTCAAAGTTTAATTAAATGCTAATTAAGGTTCTAATAATACATTCTCTTACTAAGTACTGTAGCGTTTTTTGTCTGCACTGAAGCAAGCCAAAAATGTAAAGGTAAATAGGTATTTCCACAAATGTATGTTTTTGGAGGTGTTTTCATAATCCTAAATTTCTGATTTTCTTTTGGTGTTTTGCAAGTGGTTTATATAATTATTTTATATATCCCTCATTAACAGGGTTTGAAAACAACTTCACCTATACTACCTGGTAAGTAGTGGAACAGCTTTTCTAATTAATTTTTTTCCAAAATACATTTTTCCTACTGAACAATAATTTGATTTTGCTCTGAAGATATCTAAGTAGATTGTCAAAACACTGAAACCTTCTGAAAAGGCCTTCTGTTTTTAAACTATATCTATATGTATGTTGCATATTTATCCAAGTCTTTAATTTTTGTTCTTCTGAAAAGGCTTCAATAGCAAGTGTGGTCTATCAGTGACATTCAGCTTTGCAGCAGCCGCTTCAGCTGTAACCTGATTTTCTGCATGTTTCTTCTGCATCTGCTTGAATGGGCTTGTAGTGTCCACTTGGGGCTGCCTGTTAAATACCTGGCAGTTTATTTTAAAATAAATGAGTTTAAGAAATATTACAGGTTTGCTGCTAGAGTGGTTATTCAAGTAATGCACATACTTACCTATCGTGTCTAAGCACCTTTAGCTTAGAAAGAACATGAACAGATGCATTTATGTTGATGCATTAAATGGCACTGTGGGCTCTTGCTATAAATAGATGCTATGTGGGATTTCAAATATCCATACAAACTGTAAGGCAAAACAGTAATCCAGATCTGGCAAGCAGGAATATGTCACTGTCATGGAACATTTGCTTTGTAAACAAGTTTGAAGTATTGTTTTTAAGGAATGAGAAATCAGCTTTTAAAGCTTTATTTTTGTAAATAATATTTGATGCCAGTTGTTTTCTGGACTGCAATTACAAGTGGCATTGCCACAGTGATGACTCGGTGATTGTGGTCTGTGTGTTTTCCAGATCGTCCTGAAAGAAGCAACAAAACACCAACTGACATTTTACCTCAGATTTCTTTTTCTGGTTCCACTGATACAAGAGGTCAAATTTCAGAATTTCCTGCAGAAGTAACAGATATTGGTAATTACAATTCATTCAAAGCATAATCACTAGATGAATTAAGCAGATGATTCGTTAATGGTACTAATTTGGATTAGTGCTGCTACTGTCTCCCTCCAACTCACTGAGATGCAGACAAATAAACCTGCCTTGTCTCTTCAGCATTGCTGAAGGAATTTTTCCCAGAATCAGTGCTGGAGTAATTCTTCACTTTTTTTTTTTTTCAGAGTGTGTAAAATATAGAATATGTCAAATGAGATATAATGTCTCTAGAGCACTGAATACTTTTGAAAATAATACCTGATAACTGCTTTGGTATGCAAAGAAGGAGAAAAAAAAAGATAACAAGGGCTGTAATACTGTATTTACTGATAAATACTTTCCAGTGAGGTGTAAATAGAGAACTATAATAATATACAAATTTTTCATATTTGTATTTTCTGTGGCCATAGTGCCTTTAGAACTCCTCATACTGCAAAGGTTTTTTTCTAGCCCTGAGAATAAACCTGTTCTGTAAGAGCTGGAGGAAGTCTTAGTGATCCTTCTGACTGCTGCCAGCATTCGTAAGCCTGTGTTGTCCGAGTGGACAGAATATTAAATACATTTCTTTCCGTAGGTTTTGGTAACCGCTGTGCAAAGCCCAGAGGACCAAGAGAGCCACCCTCAGAATGGACATGATCCAAGAACCAATGGACATACTACCATTAAGTTATACTGGAAAACTCAAGTGCCACTGAGAACTAGAAAAATAGTATTCCACTTTTCTGGGGGGCGACTAACACAGAGCAGTGTAGATCTAACTATCCATGGTACACTCTTTGCAGTACATCCCATGCAAAACCTGACACGTGGTTCACAACAGTGGATTCCAGTATTACAACTTAACTTCTTGCTGGGGCCATCTACCTGCCTTACTACACTTAGGAGAAAGTATTAATACGATTTATTTTGTAACTTCAAGTATTATTGCCTTAATGTCTTTTAACCCTGTTACACGCTGCTTGTAGACATATGTTAATATAGTAATACTTTTGACAGATTGTGTTTATGGACTACTTTTTGCTAACGTTTGAGTACCATGTATGCATTATTTTGTATATGTACAGGGCAAGTAAGTATATAATTTGATAAAGTTGCAATCATAAAATATTAACAGAAGATGTAAGAAATCTCTGCATGATCTAAATTTTTGTGTACCTTATTTGTAAATTATTTGCCCTGAAGTTTTAGAAAATAGTTTCTGGGGTTTTTTACAAAAATTGCTGGACACACACAGCCAGAATTGCAGGTTAGCAGAGATAAAGATTGTAATACATTTTGTAAATTGTAAGCAAAAGGTTATTTTTATATTATATACTGTTTAATTGTCAGACCTAATTTGTTCTGGTTTTCATCTAGTCATGGAGATTCAGTAAGTGCCTTGGAACAGTATTGAATTCTCTTAGCCTGTATATGTTACTTCAGTGTTTTGAGTTCATCTGGAACTAGATTATCAAAAATATTTGTACATTTCTTAGTATATTTGACCTGAGAGTAAAAGAGAAACCATTCTGCATAATCAAAACTCCTTAGTTTTCATTTTAGTGTTTTCATCAGTTGCAATCTTTAGAAAACTCATCCCTATCACCTTTCTGTATAGTAGGATTTTACAGGTTTAATATGGCGTGTTTCTAATTTGGGAAAACCAGAACACACTGGTAAAAGGACTGTTTCAATACCACTGTCTTCTCTTACAGATGGGGAATACCATTTTTGTTGTTCAACGACTGTGTATGTAAGAAAGCAACTTATATGAAGGTTCACCTGGAGCCCTTGCAGCTACACTGTATCTTGGCAATATATTACGTCAAGAGTTAATCCTTATAAGGATTCCTTTATTAAACTTTTTCTGTAATACAATCTTTAAATTAAAGAAAGTAAAAATCTCACTATGGGTGTTTTTACTCTTAGGAAAGAAAACTGTGTTCAGAAGTGAAGTGAAACAGAGTGAAGTGTGGCAGTCTGGCTTTGCTTGTAGATCTCGTATTTGAACAAAATGCTGACACTCAGGACCTTAGTTTTAGTAACTGCTTTAAAAGTTCTGGCCAGCAATAATGTCAGAGAAGCAGAGAAGGGCGTTTAAAGGAAAAATGTTCATTTTAGGTAGTGAAACTATTAATCTGGACTTTAGCCATGGAAACATTATGTCTAATTTACTACTTGTACCTTTAGGGCCTCTCTGCTAAAAGAGAGCATTAGCTGCCCAGATAGCAGCCCTGTAGTAACTTCCAAAAGCTACATAACTTGCAATTACTGTCTCTAACTGTGGATTAATTGCCATGTGCTTGGTACATGTGATAGACTGTTGAGCTGGGGAGCACATTCAGAGAGCTGTGTGTGCTATAAATGCTTTCCATGGATGTAGTTTTGCAATTATTCATTTAAAAATAAATATTTCAATTATTTATGCCATCTGGGATAACCTACATAAACTATATTCCTGATTTTTAAACAGTTCAGAAATCTGGACTATCCAGCAGTTGGCAGAATAAAGTTGGCCTGAACTTTGTTTCCCCTCCCTGGTGTTGCGGATGATTAGCTTAGACTTTCACTCTTACAGAGCTGTGGTTTTGTAATGCAAGACGGGCTGTCATCACCCCTGGACAGTCCAAATTGTTGTAACTTTTGGGGAAAAAAAAAGTTAAATAAGAAAATTTCCAAATATGTCTTGGCTGTACTTTTCAAGGATCATTTCCATGTTTCTCTACCATGCAAATACAGAGCTGTGCAGGTAGTAGATTTTCTGCTTTTCACCATATGAATTTCAGTCAGAGCAAAGGCTGACCCAAATCTGTGCACTATATACAGGCCATCTGGCAATGTGTAATTAAAGAACATGCGGGTTCATCTTTTTTTCCCTTAGATTTGCATGGATTTGGATCACATTCCAGACTGAGTTTGTCACAGATGTTGCAGCCTTTCTTTGCTTTAGCAGCAATTGTCCTGTATGGATTTCTGTGCCCTTTGACAGAGCTGTTTTACAGCTCGCTGTTGCCTGCTTACATTCGTGGGAGTTTTGTATTTTCACCTATTGTATTTCAGATAAGCTGACAATTTTAAGTGCAAGGTGAAACCTGCCCAATGTCATTACTTTCTGTATCCACTCTTGTGGGTGGTACGGAGATAACTGCAGGGCTGGGTGATGTTCACTTGGGAATTTCACATCATAACTTGGAAATATTATCCAATCTTAACAGCACCTTTCTTTGGGGTTTATTTGAAATGGAATCCAAAGGAGTTTAAAGTATTACATTAGTTTGCAAATTAACACTGAATACAGATCTAGATCAAGTAATTTCGTACATGTATTGAAATCAGTCCTGTTTAGCTTCAGTCTTCCACATTAATTTTTCTGAAAGCGGTCTTCATCTTTAATCTCTGAAGTGCAGCTTTTCAGGCATGCAATTGACTTGATCACTGTAGCAAAGTAATGCTACTCAACCCAGCTCTTCTCATTCATAACCACTGCATTGGCTTGTTTGTTCCTTCAGTATTTTTCTAATATTCCATTTCTTATTTTTTCTAAATGTATTAATATTGAACAAATCATGCAGTAAATTATCACATCAAAAGAGGGATGCGTTCTCCATGGTTTAGAAATGTGAATTCTCAAGTCTAAGAAGAAAGCTGGCCTCTACTAATATCATTGCTTATCTCTATTACGCAGCATATTCTAGGTTTGCATTGATTTGGCATGTAAAGTTCTATTTTGGTACTAATTAGAGCATTGCATCAGCATTTCTATTTCTTTTCTGTTAGGAGAACCTGCTGTGTTTAGATGTCAATTTCCTTAAAGAAGTTTCTAACTGGGGAACTGGGCAGAAAAATTAAAAACTCAAAGAATTACCTCTGGGGTCTTGTATGTTGAAATTCTTGGATTGGGTTTCTTTGGAGATACATCACTTAAAGAAAGAATGAGATCAAGTGTGACACAGTGACTGGGCAGTGTGATCACCCCGTGCTGCTCTTGCCTGCAGCATAACCTTGGCACTCTGCAGCCAGAGAGAGAGAACCCAGCAAGCCAGGGTTGGACTAGGGAAAGGCTAGTAATGAATATCACAAGGGGAGTTTGGGGAGGAAAAAGGAGTTTAGGACTTTGGACAATGTAATTGAGCAAATAAGCAGATACAATTGCACCCAAGTACTTCGTGAATTTTTTTCAACGCTTGAGGGAGGTGTAACATCTCCACAGTAGTAATGAACAAGTTGCAATTACTGCAGCCCTTCGCCTAAGAAGGGCCTTTCTCGTAATCTCAAAATGCTCTTCAACTCTGAGGACTTGAAACAGCTTCTAGGGAAGGTTATCCTGCGGAGCTGAGTGCATGGAACGCATGAAACTGGGACAGGGCAGAGCTGGGACAAGCCAGTGCAACGCACTGACTGCCCTCCTGGAACCCTCAGCGTATCTTGAGCCTGTTGAGACAGAAAGTCTGCAAAGTGGTTATAATAGGCTTAGTAGCATTCAGTAATAGCCAGGCTCTCTCTGATGTGACTTTTTCTAAACCATTTCAGTTCATGCACTTAATTAAAACACAGATTTGTCAAGTGTTGGGCTGAACAGAGGTAGAAAATACTGGTTTTTTGGCTTCAGTGCTGTGGTATCCTTGAGATCTGTACCAAATGCTTCATTTCATCACTTCTAAGACTACATGGCAAAAGCTTAGTATTTGCAGTCTTAAAACAGCAAATAAACAAAATGTTGTTTGCCTGCCTATTCAGATCTCACAATCTGAACTTCTGGGGTAAATGGTCTTTCCTTGAAGAGACATGGCTAAAAACATTTTCTGGTTTGACCTATTTGGTCACTGTTGCTCTAACATTTGATTTCTTTAAAAACTTGACTGTTGCCTCTGAAATTACACTGTGTCTGCATGAAAAACTTACTGTGGTGAGGCCAAAGTAAGAAATTAGTTTTGCATTTCAGTTTAAATCCCATGAAGTTACTTACCTTGTGTGTGTAAACAGCCATAGAGAGCTCAATGCAGCCATTCATCTGCAGGGTTTAGTGTGTGTGTCCGTTTGCAGTTCTGGGGCACTCGTAAGGAGAGTGGTTAGCTCTGTCTTTGGCAGCATGGCTTAGCTCCATGGACTTCAGTTAGTGAGCTGGAAGTTGTCTTTCACATCTACAGTTCCCACTTTGATCTGCAACGTTACAGTCCTTCATGTAAAAGATCACAGGCAGGTAAGGAAATTGATCTTTGGGCAGGTAGTGCCAAAATCCCATGGAGAGCTTGACTGTCAAGTGGAAGGAAGAGCTGGACTTGGATCAAAGAGGATCCCATTGTTCAAATGTGGAGTATTGAAGACTGTGCTGAGCTTTTCTGTGTACTTGACTCTGCTCACTCTGCACCAGAAGATGCCTGGTGTGTAGTTCCATCCCAGTATATAATCTACCTGCTACCTCTCTGACGTAATGTTAAAAGGACAAAAAAAAAAAAAAATCAGGTTAATAATCTGAGTTTTTCCAAATATTTGCTATGTTTGTTCAAATTTGTATTTGCCTTCTTGCTGTTTTCACATTAAACAGTATATTCGTTGTTTGAATGAGTCTGGGGAAGATGGCAGGAGGAAAACACAAATCTTTTGAGGGAACATGCCAGGCCTCTGCTGTCCATTTGCTTTAGCTGTTCTTTTATTTGCTGTATCTCCAGTAGGAATATGCCTTATGGTGAATATTTAACTTTGCAATATTGCTTACACAATTCATCAGCACTGCCCAGTTCACTTCTCATTTTTGGATTTCACTCCTGAATGCACTGAACACAGTTATTCTGCTGCAAGTGAAGAGTTGGCCCTGATACGGTCTTAATTCCATGTGTTATTCTGGTACCTGGACACAGTTGAACCCACCAGTGCAAGGTTGGTAATTTTTTTAAAAAACAGTAATGTAGCTTCTGATCTGTTTCATTTGAGACAATTAAAAGCTAAAATAGCCATCCTTGTAAAATGCAGTAGGGAATCCAGGGTTGCATTTTTCCCATTAATGTGAACAGACCATACCATTGAGCTTTCCTGAAAAAGCACCTGTATGTTGATTTTTATGAAAGTTAATTAAGAAATGAGTCATAGCTCAGGTCATGAGATCTGTGGGAAGTAATTTGTGAGAACTTCAAAAGTGAAGCAAGTTGCCTGGATGGAGAAAGTGATCCAAAACATGCTCATAAAATGTCCTGGTCTCTGCTTGGTGTGTGGTAAGAAGTGAATGTGGCAGGGTTGGTAAGAAGGAGCGCAGTAGCCCTGGAGGAGAGAGGCAGCAAGAGCTGAACTGTAGCAAGTATAAGGAGGAAACTGCCTTTGCCTGTGGGTAATAAAAGGTTGAAGTGAACTTGTTGAGCAGGTTCCTGGTTTTGTAAGCTCCTCAGAAGGGCAGAGAGGTGTGGTTGGGTAACAGGAATGCAGCACAAGGAAACTCTTCTTTAAACAAATTGGTGGGTTTGAGTTTCTGCAAAACATGCAGTTGAATTCCAGCCTCTTGGGTTTGCCTGATCAGGCCCAGGAAAGATTGCTCCTTAGGGTAGGAGAAAAATTGGTGGGGGCACTTAACAAGGATAAACTGACTCATGAAATGTCCTGGAGTGGGTGGGAGAGATGAGGAGTGGTAAGTTCAAAAAGCCATCTGTTGTCACATAGATTTTGAGACCTCAAAAAGATACCTGAACAGGGGCACTTTATGATACCATTGCCATATAATGAATATATCTTTATCTGCCTGGTGACATGTAAATCACTGGTAAAAAGGAAGCAATGCAAGTAATACTTTTTATCATGTAAATCAGCCTTTATTACACTTTATGACTAGCAAGACACCTAATAGCTCTGAAAAGTGTTGCTGAGCAGCTCTTTCCCCTTTTGTGTCCTCAGACAGCAAATCAATACAAATTTAGTGATGCTGGGAAGAACACTACTCAAGTGGCTTTTTTCACCTAAATTCACTCTTTTTGGAAATAAGTTTTCAGACCCTGCAAAGGTATTTCTACAGATAAATTAGTTCTTTATAGCTTGGACACAGTGTGGTGGTCAAAGCTGCTGTGAATTTACTTCTCTGCCACTTCTGCCTGTCATATGTTCTAGTTGAAAAACCTGAATCCTCACTCAGGCAGCTATTCCACAGTAGGGAGGATGGTCTCAGGCTCCTTGATTCATAAGAAAGGGGGTATCTAGTCTTGTAATTAAAATAATGAAAGATATCAGGCCTCTTTTGGACCTCAGGCACCTGCCAGCCTTCTCTGAGTGATAATTCAGAATGGCTACATGAACCAAAAGTCTCTCGAAGATCTTCCACATAAGTCTACAAGACTGAGCTCAACCCTGCCTCAGGGAAGGGTTTGGTTCCTAGAGAGGCAGTTCCTCTTTTGGGCCTGTCCACAGTCCTGGATCACAGGGGCAGTATTTGGGAAGGGAGCAGTGTTTGCCACTAAACTGAATGCTTTGTGTTTTGGAGTTCAGAGCTCCTCACCACTTTTGGAACATGTTGTGTGCTCTAAGGATTTCCTCATAACTCACTAAATGTACTCTTATAGAGCACGTCAAGCACCTGTCTAAATTTATGTTTAAAGCCACGGAACAGATCCTCATTTTGCTAGACACCAAAGTATATGTAACAGTAAGATCCAGAGAGAGGGCACCAGCGTCGGTCACTTCTTGTACGCTTCCTGCACACTTCAGTTATACAGTTCAGAAGGCTGGCTGGAGTTTTTATTGCAATTTTATCCTTTTTTTTAATTATTATTTTTATATAGGTGTATCAAACAAGCACTTTCCAGTGTCTCAGCTTTCAATAATTAAGATCCATTTTACATGTGAAGCATTTTTTTCCATCTGCTTCTCTCTCTCCTTCCCCACTAACTTCAAGCGCCAGAAGTGACCGGCACGAGGGAGCTCACTGGGAGCAGCCTCTGGGCCAGAGTCTGTAGTGAAATGACAAATCTGTCCTGCACGTTTCCTGGAAATGAGGCTATCCACCATGTAGGCTCAGCATTCCTGCCTCTAAGCCAGGGCAAGACTGTGCAAGTAACAAGGCAGGGAACAACTGGGTTTTCATGTAAACAGGCTGGGATGAGCCAGGTTATCTCCCATTTCAAGACCGTGATCTAAGGCTGATAGTCTTGTGTTAGATTTACACTGATGCTATTCATTCCACCCTGAGTGGTTCCTAAAGCCCCTAACTGCCACCCAGTCATACATTTGAACTTTTGTGTGGT